CTGTGCAAGTGTGAGACACTGGAATGGGTTGCCCAAGGAAGCTGTGAATGCTCCATCTCTGGTGGCGTTAAAGGCCAGATTGGGCAAAGCCTTGGGTGAGATGGTTTAGTGTGAGGTGTCCCTGCCCATGGCAGGGGGGTTGGAGCTAGATGATGTTAAGGTCCTTTCCAAAGCTAACTATTCTATGATTCTATTGCTTGTTGAGTAGTGGGAGAAGAAAGGGATCTCAGATGCTTTTTCATTGCAAGGGAGACCTATTGAATCCTGCCTGAAATCACAGAGATTCTCTAAATGTCAGGACAGCTGTTTCCTCTCATTCAGGGCAAAAATATTGCAGGCTTACACTAACATCCACCCTGCACCCATTTATGTGTGAATTCAAACATCTGGGGCACTGTTACTTCTTCCCCTTTCTATTAACAGATGATGTATTCATAGATTAATAGAAGGGTTAGGTTTGGAAAGGACCTTAAGACCATCTAGTTCCAACCTCACTCTAGGCCATGTTACCCAAGGCTCTGTCCAACCTGGCCTTGAACATTGCCAGGAGTGGAGCATTTACTACTTTTTTGGGCAACCTGTTCCAGTGCCTCACCACCCTCACACTAAAGAACAATAATTCTTCCTTATATCTAACCTGAACTTCCCCTGTTTAAGTTTGAACCCATTACCCCTTGTCCTACCAGTAAATTCCCTAATGAATAGTCCCTCCCCAGTACCCTTGTAGGCCCTCTTCAGATACTGGAAGGCTTCTATGAGGTCTCCATGCAGCCTTCTCTTCCCCAGGCTGAACAGCCCAAACTTTCTCAGCCTGACTTCATATGGGAGGTGCTCAAAAACCCCTTATCACCCTTCTCAAGGCCTGAAAGAGCAGCTATAGCTGAGTTTCTGAGGCAGCCACACAATAAAAGCAAAGCTGCTGAGACAGAAAGGCAAAACACAGATAAACATTCCGAAGACAGAACTCAATTACTAACATAGCCACAATATGCCCAAAACCTGAACATCAAAATCTGTTTTTCACTGACCTTAAATTAGAAAAAACAACAATAAGCATAATCTGATTATCATCATCATAACTGTCCATTCAATTCTCCATAATCAGTACTGTGAAACTACTTGAGCCTGAATTGCTTGTTTGTCCTTGTTTTACAACAGCGTAACTCCACTGGTGCCAAGTTGAAATCTGAAGTACATCTGTCTATTAAAGAGTGTTTAGGTTAGGTCAAAGAATGTTTAGCCTGTACCAGCTGTATCTGCCTCTACTTCTGTTTCTGGAAGATTTCATCTCAGTCAACTGCGCACATGCCAGAAATAAAATGAATCAAAAGCACATGGGAACTCTGCATAAATACAAAACTGAACCTCATTTATTGTAGCTTCTTATACATTAATTTTCTCAACATCCACTGGGAAAACATAATGGGGTACATGCTGCAGGAAATCACATCAGTGATTCTCTGTCCAGAGTAATCTTTTCTGTCTCAGTCTCTTCAGAATCATATGGACAAGAAGTATAATTCAGGGCTAAGAATCCAGACTGCAGTATGGAATGAGATTATAAAAAACTGATGTCCTGCCCTTTGCACTGTACGCTTCCCTTTGTTTTCTGCACACACTGCAAATTAAACAAGCTTTATAAAGACAACATACCCTACAGCTGCACAGACTTAGTGCTAACTGCATTGAACTGATCATATGGTCACTTCTTCACTTAGAAAAGAAATACATGTATACACACAACTATTTTACGTATATGTAGAAGAAAGCTACCTAATACATTAAATGGAAGAATACATGTAAGGCTTTTTATAAAACTGACACAATATTATTTTCACTCTGATGAAAATATTTATGAGAGAAAGACAAACACAGAGAAACGTTAGAAGCGTGCCTAAATCCTGCAAATAACTTCATATTGCTAAACAGAGTTAGTTGCAACTGTTTAAAGGACCTGCAGTCCCAGCTTACAGCCTCTGCTCCTCCCTGTCTGTGTATGCTGATGACCATTTTGCACAGGTTTTGCTGGCTGCAAGTTTCCACAGAAGTTTACAACCAGGCAGGGAAACAAAACAGGGCTAAATCTGGCTTTCATTGAATTAAATTGAGACTATTCCACTGCCTTTAGTTGGACTGAATGTTACATAAAAAAATGATTTGCTGTCAAAGCACTGGCCACCCAGCAGTAAAAGCTAACTGTAACCAATGAACAAACCATGGAATCCCTATGGCACTTTCTCCATCACCCAGCTTGGATAAGTCATAAGAAATGGACATGGCTTTTTGAAGCAGTGAGGGAAAAACATACTACAGTCTGCTTCTCCAGGAAACTTCTGACATATATATACACCTTGTTTCTTGCTGTATCTTCATTTAACCTTGCTCATACATTCAACCTGGTGCAAAACTAGACTGAGAGGCAGCTTCCACAGTTTTAAGCTTCCTTTAAGCTGCAGCATCAGACCAAATCAACCTTGCAGTAAAAGTCTCTTTTCTACATGTTTCTGGATCAATGCAATATTGGCCATTATGGGAAAAAGCGAAATACACAGTAGATGTAAGATAAAGTGAAAAATACACGCCTGTCAGATGCTGGCAATTGCCACAGAGTTATCCGCTTCCAATACTCATTCTCTCTATTCAAAATAAAGACATATGGTAACCTTGTTAATATCAAAATATTAGCTAGTGATACTTCCAATGGTAAAACCATACCTCTGATCCATAGTGCCTGAAAATGTGCACAGAGACAGTATGTATCAAAAAACCTTCAGGTTACAATGGTGGACTGAATGCATGCCCTTGTTAAAAAGAGATGCACACAGATTTTGTTACACTATCCAAGCAAGTTCTGCTGCACTGTATATCCTTCAAGGAATATTTTGTTTGTCACAAACCTTGAGTAATTGCATTTTAAGCAAGAAACAAAGAGCAAGTTTAGAACTGATGCCTATGAGTTCCTATAAATACCCTGGAAAAAGAAAACATCAGAAATCCTTGTCCCAGCCTGAAAGTTCATCTGGAGGGGTTCCCTCTTCGGGTGGATAGCTGTCAAAGTAGCTGTGATCAGTTGGTCCAGACAGCTAGGACATTAAAAACACAAACAGAACTTTGTTTCAGAAAGTAACTTTTGAAAATACTCCCCATTGATTATGCATTATTTTTTTAGTGGAAGAATTAAATGCTATGGATGATTTCTGTCAATGGATGCAATTCCTCATCCTAAACCACCAGTAATGGAATTGTACAACAGAACAATGGCATTAGCATTCTTACACAGAACCACTCCCCAAATACTACCAAATCCTAGATTTTGCCCACAGCCCTATAAAGTCAGTAAGAAAACTGGCCACACTGCATACAGTTTTGATTCAGATTTGTTTTAAGACCAAATCAACACTCATGGGATAGCTGCTCAAAGCAGACCTCGGAATTATTTCTTGTTTCAAATTGCATTCAAAGTGAGTTTTGAATTCTTTATCCTCAATCTTTCTTTCATTTTAGGGCACAGAGAAATGGGCTGTTTAAAATAGGAAGCTTATTCAGTGATGTGCTGTAACCTGATAATAGGAGAATACAGGAATTTTCACTCTGCACAGTAATGTGAACAGTGCATTTTAATAATGTGTCCATTACTGAGGAAAATAGCTCTTTTCAGTATTTGTTTCTGACCAGACACTATTTATTCTAGTAAGGGTGAAAATCTAATGCAAAGTACACAGGCAGAATAATATTTCCATTATTTAATTGAATTTAAGTGATGTATCACTTGCTGTCTCTCATTCTACTAAAAATGTTGAGCTATAATAATTCAAATGCACCTCTGGGAAATTTCGCTGTCACCATCAGCTGTTTCTTTGTAGAGAAGCACCTATATGTTAGTTAAAACATTATGATATTGAAAGTCAAAGCCAATACCTCTCTTTTTAAAGGTGATATTAATTTCCTCACTTTCAGACCATCCCAGTTAAAACCACTCAACCACCTGATTAAAAAGAAATGAGAGACAGGGAGAGACCGAGAGAAAGACTGTTTTCTGTAACTATACTATCAACAGCTGAAAAACAAGTGAACAAGGGCTATAAGACTTTTCTTTCATCACAACTTTTGTCCATGTGATAACACAGTTGTTGAAAAGAGGAAACTTGAGCATTGTCATTGTCATACAAGGGAGTGGTAGCAGGGGGAGCTTCAGGACCACCAGGTGCATTGCAACTCCTCTGTATAGAGGTGCCAAAATGACATGCAAGTTAATATACCTGTAAGCACAGCCATGCAAAGATATGCACCCCTTTGGATTACCACCCTCTTTTAACAGTATGAGAGGAGACAAGCAGAAAAGACAAAGCACTTCTTTTACCAAGCACAAATAACATGGCTTAGAAACAACTCAGATAGAAAGAAAAAGCAGGAAATGTTTAATCCAAAGAGGAGTTTCTTCATTAGAAGAGAAGACAAAACCCTAATATTACCCCAGAGCTCTTAACTGCCATTCTTCAGAAGCAACTATTTATTAGTTAGGAGGTCTGAAAGATGCTGAACTGGCATCAATTTCTCTGAGAACTGAGTTAAACTCCTACATGGACCCGCAACAAAACCAGTAAATAACAAGATGTTTCAGGTAATCATGCTGAGGATTTGTATTTATATTGGTGCCTGCCCTAGTCACAGATACACTCAATAGCAACAGAGATCACTCAGATGCAATCTGCCTGGAAGTGCCTGGAGCTTTATGGGTTCACTGGACAAATTAAACCCCAAAGTTTCTTGGCAGCCTCTTTCACTTACCTATGCTTCTTAATGTCATTAATTCCATTCCTCAGGTTGCCTAATCTTTCTGTAGGGTTTTGCCTTAAAAAAGAATAAGGATTATTATTTTTTTTAATAATTCTCTTTTTTTTTTAAAAGAGCATTTATAGGTCCTAACTGCTTGCATTTAAGTTACACAGGGATGAAGCTTGCACACAACGTGGTTTTAAGAGGAAACGTAATGAGATGTCGCTCATTGCTCCTTTCTTTTGAGGATGGAGAAACCTTCCAGAAAGCCAAAGTGGTGTCACTATGCTGCGAACAGCACAGTGAGAAATCAACTGGTTGAATTTTAGTTGCACAACTCCTTTTTCTGGGCCAGTAGGTCTGGTCATGAGTTACAAAGGATGCAGACCAAAACTGGCAGTTACAAAGATCCTTTCAATCCTGCTGTATAACCACAGTGTATATACTGTTTCTCATGCCATGGATGAAATTCCACTGAAGCTGGGGGTTCAAAGTCAGCTGTACTGCCAGCCACAGGTTATGCATGCTGCTATACACAAATGCTTCTGATTTATGCTGTCCCTTTTGAAATACCACCTTTTTGCACATTTTCAAGCAGGCCTAAGTCAGTCTTTTAAGCATCCTAACCTTTCTGAAGGAGTTACATGCCTAAGTCATTTTGGGAGCAATTTTCAAAACGCAGTGTTTGATAATAAAATTAAATTCTTTATCTCTTTCCTCAGCCCAGACTTAACAATTTTCCCTTAAGATATGTTTCAAAAATAATTCACAGGTACAGAGAAAGCCCAGAGCCTACACCTGCAGACTGTGAGGTGTGACACAGTCAGAGGCATGCAAGTGCACTGAATATAATAAGAACAGACTATGCTAGGCATCAGAACAATTGTAAATGAAGTTGTCAGGAATTCAACAGTCTAGACTGGATCTTAAATCATTCCATCTATCTATACCCAGGCTCTGCCACAAAGTGCACCTCCTACCTGCAGAGTCTGCGGATCAAATCCTCAGGCCGCCTTGTTATTACCTTAGGAAAATCCAGCTTTTCAATGCCTTTGAGAATCAAATTATATGTCATCATTTGATCGGCCCCAGAAAATGGTGGGCTAGAAAAAGAAAGCAACACTGATAAATGGAACGGCTGGCAAGAGCAGATGTGGCCATTTCTCATCAAAGCATGTATTTGAGAACATGGAAAAACTCCCACCTCCCTAGTGTTACAACCTTCAGCCTTTCACTCTGTTTCAGATATCAGAAAGGTTTGAAGCTGAAAAGCTGTCTGTAGGTACCATGGAAAATGCATGATTATATGTGTCCCTCTGAGATAGACTGCCAGCCTAACTCAGAGAAGCTTCATGTTGTACTACTGCTGAACATTCATAAAGAGTTGACATGGAAGTGCGCATGGAGGCAAAGAATGAGCCCTGCTTATAGTTCATCAACCCTGCTGTATCCCATCATCCACTAACAGGGAAAAGAACAGTCTGCTGTCAGCTGTTCCTCACAGGAAGCATCATCAGGTAAAGGAACTATACACCAGCCACTTATAGCCATTGTCTGGCTCCTTCCTTGGATGGGTAAACCAGAACTGAGAATATGTCCTACGCTTTGTGGTGTTTCTGAAATGATGGAAAACATGTGTAAGAGGCAATAAGAAGTATTTTGCAAGTCATTCCTGTTTGCTGATGGGAAAAACCCTAAACTGTTTATTTTAAAAATAAATAAATTAGAAAAAATCTAAAAACAAGCAAGTGAGGTAAAAACTTGGAATAGGAGGCACTTACCTGCCAGTAAGGAGTTCATACACAAGAATCCCAAGGGACCAAAAATCCACACTGAAGTCATGGCCCTTACTCAGAATGACTTCAGGGGCAACATACTCGGGGGTTCCACAAAATGTCCAGGTTTTCTGCCCTGATCCAATCTTCTTTGCAAATCCAAAATCAACCTGATCAAAATCAACATATGCTGCATAATGCAGAGGTGTTTCGCACTGGAAAACCTTAGGTCTTAATTGCTTCCTCACCTCCTGAAAAGATCTCAAGAATCGCCAGTGTACAGCTAAAGCAATTACACAGTGTTGTGAAGGAGAAAGGAGTGATTCCACTGAATTGCTGAATGTTATAGAAGAGATTAATTTATTCTCATGGGTAATTTCCTGAATTATTTTTCTTTTGGATAGAACAATCTATGCTTTCCTTGAGGACTCATGATTTACAGCCCATGGAAAATGGCTCATTGTCCTCAGAGTGGGTATTTCAAGCTCTTTGAAGGGTATTCTCTTTGCACTTTCCATGGTAGAACCTATGATTGCTTAAGGCTGGACAGAAAGGTGATTCTGCACCTGGGAAATGTGGTTACTGCCTTTACAGTAAGATTGGCTGCTGGGAGAAATTATTTTTGCTGTTTATGCTGTGGCAAGAGCCCTCGGAGGCTGCAAATCCCATTTGTCTATGGCTTGCAAAGCCTTTGTTTCTTACCGTGCAATGAGTAGCCTGCCCTCTTTTCCAATGAAGTATAAGGCTTATTAAACTCTGGGATCCTCATACTATAATTACAGCTATCTATTTATATCCCTCTGCAAAGGAACAGGATACAGGCACAAAAGGATAACATTACAAAAGAATTACATCTTACCAGTTTTATATAGCCTTCAGCATCCAAAATTAAATTTTCTGGCTTCAGGTCTCTGTAGATAATCCCTATGTGATGGAGATAGTCAAAAGCCTCTGTCACACACCCAACACAGAACTTTGTAGTGGCTTCATCAAAGCTGCCTCTGGAACAGAAATAATCACTACCCTTGCAGACCATTAACTTCTAAAAAGGCCCCACTCATTAACGAGATAACATACATACACCCAGAACATTAACACCTTTTTTTGCACTGACATTCAGTACATCATTCATATAGTTGAAAGCTGAACTAAATGTCTTTTTATCAGCCCTTGAATACAGAACCTACTCATATGGAGCTGACTGGTGATTTTAAAGGACAAAATTCTGCTTCGTTTTCCATTACCTGTCTCTCAGCAAGCTCCACAATTCCCCTCCGAGGCAAGCCTCCAGTAGCATGTACACATACTTACTATCTTTGAATGTGCGATATAGTCTGTAAAGACAAATGGCAGCAATTTAGGAAAAGCAAAATAAACCACAAGACTTCAATGTCTCTTCTCCAGAACTCAGATATGCCAACCCTCATTCTTAATAACGCTGCCCCATGGGTCAACTGCGGGTCAGCTTTCACGGGAATCTTATGTTCAACTTACTTTACAATGAATGGAGAACATATCTGCTCAAGGATTTTCTTCTCAGAATAGATATGTTCTTGTTGTTTGGTGTCCACTACGTGTTTCTTCTTTATACGCTTCATAGCAAAAGCCATGTCCTCATTTTTCACTTTAACCTGTAAATAAAAATGATGAGTACATGTGAGACAAAGAAAGGATGTTTTACTGATCTGTTCTCAATAGGTACAGTGATATCCATCTTTTTCACCACAGCATAGGACTGAAATTGATGACTGTAATGAGGGACAAATGCCAGATTTTAGACAGAACTGTTCTGTGTGATTTTAAGTCAAGTCAAGCATCAAATCTTTTTAGTGTCCCAGTGGCCACTTGTAAACTGAAATAATCTCTGTGGTCATTTTATGTATACAAAATAGCAGCAGTTTGGATAGGTGATACATTTTAAAGCTTCTAATTTCAATTTAAGATTTCTAAACAGTAGCATAATACAAAAGAACAAAAAGCAGAGGCAGTTTATGAAGAAAGTTTACAAATAATTTTGTGTTATACTGAAATACTATCCAGTATGCAATAAAAAGACAAGCTAAAACGGGGCTTCCAGGAATCCAAAGAAACAGCTATCAATGTTCTTCAACCGGCTGACAATTCAAGTCTTAGCTTCTCATTCAGGTGATGCCGTAGAATTTCCAAGCTGGCAGTCAGTCAATGTGGAAATTTGTTTTGTGAAGCATGAATCAAAATAAAACGATTGGTGGTCTAACTACTGTAAAGGAGTATTGACTTCACTACAATCACATCTCCTTTAATTTGCCATTTTACCTTCAGCAGCCTGCAGAAGAAGAGTTTTTCTTCATGCTCTCCCCTGAGTTCGCTACTCAGCCAGAGGAGAGTTGAATCTACGAATTTAGTGTAATTAGGCTCTTTATGTCCTAGAAACACAGTTGTTCATGCTGTTGAATACGACTCAAAAGGGCCAGTACAAATCGTTGGAAATTTCAAAGTCAATGCACCTCAGAAGCTAGATTACATTGGTTATAGTTGCTGTGGGCATACAGAAGTAATTTAACAGCACAGACTGTGTCATGTTGGAGATTATTTCAGGTCCAGACAGCATCTTGGGAAAAGACTTGCAATTCAGGCAACACAATGCAGGTAGGCACATCTGCAAACTTCACACACAAAACCTGATGAATAAATGTCTAGTGACCAGGAAGATACTTCTAACAGCATGAGATGAAGGCATGCAAGAATGGGGTTTTTTCCCCTTTGATCACTGAAGTCCACAAAGTGTTTTTAAACTATGCATTGCTTTATATAGAATTATCTCTGTCTGAGAGGCAGAAGTATTCAGAATATTAAAATCTTTCATATTTTTCAGCAGTTAATCATTAAGACAGAAAACTACTCGAATATGATTAAAACAAACTCTTACAAGCTCAACCCTTCCGAACCCACCAACACCCAGAGTTGTGATAACTTCTAAATTCTGGAATGGGGAAGGAGGGAACTGGGCTACTTTTTCCTTCAGCTCTATCATCTCCAAAGACACGTCTTTGGCCAACTGTCCGCAGAAGGATCTTCCTCTGCATTAAGAAAATTAACATAGGTTAGTGCTTTCCTTGCCAGCAACCTGTATCATAGTACTCTAATACTCCTATAAAAAATAAAAGAAAAAACTTCTTAATTCCTCACAGAAACTTAATTTTGTTTTATGCAGAAGCACTTTCTCTCTGGACATTCTATTGAAGTAAATTAGAAACAAAATGCTACTGAAGTTCACTGAGTACAATCAATGGTATTTTTATCAAGATTAAGTTGATTAGGCTGATTGGGTTCCTAATTACAGTCAGCTACAAAACTTGAGGCACTCCAAGCTGGAGAACCAATTTCTGAAGGAGTATGTACCAGTTCCAGTAGAATGATCAGAAATAAAAATGCAGGTATTATCTGTAAATAGAAGAAAATAATACTCTGCTAATATCCCAATAGTGCTCAGGTTGAACTCAGAGGCAGATAAAACTACAAATGCAGTCCAGAGCTAAAAAAGCAAACTCTTTAAAAGCACCAGTGCTACACTGAAACATTAAAAATAAATGGTTTCTTTTATGTCTGCTTATTTCTATTTGAAATGGCAATTATTCTTTTGTACAGTAGCACAGTTTCTTTAACTTAATCGGGAGTTGGCCTTTAGGGGTTTTGCCAGCCAAAGAATTAACAATCAAAATGCAAGAAATTATTTGAGCACATTTTCACTTCTTTTCTGTGCTCAGTTTTCATGGAATAGAGTGAATTCTTGGTTTACAGTCAATAGATTGAGATTGTACTCAATTTTTGTTTGGAAAATAAATAAATTATTGGACTCCATAAGCATATCCAGTTATTATTATATTGATTGCTTTCATTCCTAGGGCCTCATCTCTATCAACTACCATCCATGATTTTACCTACATATCTATCACTCTTTTGTATGATTACCTACTGAAGATGTGCCTAACAAATGATCTGACTTACTTTGCATGTCGCTTTTCATCAGCACGGGTCAGATTAGCCACATAACCTTCCAGATAAGTTTGGAGCTCCTCGTAAGTTCCAACAGTTTGATTAAATGTCCTAAAACCCCAAATGAAACAGTATAAACCACTGAACACACAGTGGAAAGACAAAAAAATCCCTGTATCTGTGCTGCTGCACCAAGGCTTTACATTGCCTGTAAGTCACCACCCAGACTGAGCTTTACACTATCACTCTGAAAATACAAATTCTAAGAGCTTTGAAGAGGCAGTAACCAGCTGAAGTACCAAACCTGGTTTACTGAAGTGTAGGGGGACAAAGTACCTGATTTCCTCAGGTCATTTTATGTTATGTTTAAATAATTTGGAGCAGGCTGAGTGTACTTCCACATCCTTACTAATTTTTGGTTTCACCATCCCTATCACAGGAACCAGGCTGGCATAAGTCCACACTATCAGTCCTTCCATTCCAAAGGATATGGCACTGTGTACCTAGGGCTCGAGTGATTGAAAACATCTCTGCCTCTTCATAGATAAGTAACAATACTGTAGGCAGAATAGGCTTAGAACAGTACTAACAACAATCATCTAGATTGTGAGATGAACCGATGCCAGCCTTATGAAGTTTAACCATGCCAAGTGCAAAGTCCTACACCTGGGTCGGAGCAATCCCAGGCACAGCTACAGGTTGGGCAGAGAAGAGATTCAGAGCAGCCCTGAGCAGAAGGACTTGGGGGTGCTGGTCGATGAGAAAATGAACCTGAGACGGCTTCAGTGTGCGCTTGTAGCCCAGAAAGTCAACCATATCCTGGGCTGCATCAAAAGGAGCGTGACCAGCAGGTTGAAGGAGGTGATCCTGCCCCTTTATTCTGCTCTTGTGAGACGTCACTTGGAGTATTGTGTACAGTTCTGGTGTCCTCAACATAAAAAGGACATGGAACTGTTGGAACAAGTCCAGAGGAGGGCCACGAGAATGATCAGGGGACTGGAGCACCTCCCGTATGAAGACAGGCTGAGAAAGTTGGGGCTGTTAAGCCTGGAGAAGAGAAGGCTGCGTGGAGACCTCATAGCAGCCTTCCAGTATCTGAAGGGGCCCTATAGGGATGCTGGGGAGGGACTCTTCATTAGGGACTGTAGTGATAGGACAAGGGGTAATGGGTTAAAAAACAGGGGAAGTTTAGATTGGATATAAGGAGGAAATTCTTTCCTGTTAGGGTGGTGAGGCACTGGAATAGGTTGCCCGGGGAGGTTGTGAATGCTCCATCCCTGGCGGTGTTCAAGGCCAGGTTGGACAAGGCCTTGGGTGATATGGTTTAGAGCGAGGTCTCCCTGCCCATGGCAGGGGGGTTGGAACTTGATGATCTTAAGGTCCTTTCCAACCCTAACTATTCTATGATTCTATGATTCTATGACAAGGGCTACCCATCCAGAACTTCGTAACTGCCTACTGAATAACTCATCAGTGCTTACATCCTGCCTGAGTGATTGTTAGTAGACACCCACTACAATATTTCCTTTGTTTTCCATCCCTCTAGTCCTCACCCAGGGGCTCACAACCACATCATCACTAACTGTAAGGGTTGTACAATCGAACCTTTCCCTTTAGTGCAGTGTGACACCTCCACTTTGCCGGCCCTGGCTCTCTCCTGAACAGGCTGTAGCCCTCTGTGACAGTACTCCCAACTGTGGGCTTCATTTCTCTAAGTCTCACTAATACCAATGATATTGTAGCTCTGGGAACTGACCAGTTCAACTTCCAGGTCATGCTGTTTTGTTTCTCATACTGTGTGCCACTCTCCATCAATGCCATGACAGCCCTTGATTTATCTACTGCAAACCTGTTGGTATCCCCTTCCCCTAGAATGCACCAGTTTTGGTATGCTTCTCTGCAACGCATTTAAACAGGCTAAAGAAAAGAAGATGACAATGCATTCACAGATCAAGATGACGTTTCCTAAGTAGGGATAGAATCTCAGTAGGAGCCCTTCTGGGATTCAGCAAGGAAAAGCATGGTGGCTGTCCACATTTCAGGTAATCATCCATACAGCTAGCTTTGAGAAATACAGGTTTTTGTTTCACTTTCCACTGAGAGCTTCTTTTCTTTTATCTTCTGTCTGCTCCATTCTTTTCCACTTTAGGAAGTGTAAAATTCCTGATAAAACCAGGCATTTGTCTGCATGTCCTGCTCAGCAAAAGGACATCCCAGAACCAGGGACAGCAGGGATTTTGATGTTCCCTGAGCCAATAAATAGTACTTAACAAATGTGAAACCTCAGCACCACAAGGAGAGAAAGAAAAAAGTAACTCTGAACTACTCTGAGCTTCCGTGCTCCTGCACCTTCTCTCAGCCTCTCTTCACAAAGTCTTTGTCTAAAGCATAGGCACAGTTCAGTATCCCAAAAGCATAACCACTCATTCAGTATTCATTTAAGGAAAACATTGTGATTATGCCTACAGTGAAGTCACATCTTACTATTATCTTACTGAAAGAGAATGCAAATCTTTCATTAAACAGTAGCACAGTACTTACTCTCTATCTATAACGAGGCACTCCACATTGTATTCATCTGCAATAACATTTGCTGATCTGACATCATCACTAAAAATTGAAACAGAAGAATTCAGAAGCATGCAAAAATCCTCAAAGCACCACACACTGTATTCATGGGGAGTCACAGCTGCTATAGGTGACACTCCTCAAAGGCCTCTGCAGCCTGTATCCAGATTAGTATTACTGAACCAAGTACATAATCATAGCATTTTATTAGCCATTCTTACTGTCTAGCACAGTATTTGTTTTCCAGTTTCAACAGTTTGGTTCATGACTTCCTTTAGCAACTTTCCAAGAATTTAGGATGAGCTGTAATTAGCATTACATTTATGATGATCTCAATTACATGAGATGTAATTAGCATTACATCTAGTAGTATATCAGGATTTACTACTCACTTCTGAAATAATTCTCAGATATAAAACATCTTAAAGACCTAATGATCCCTACTCCATTACCCACATAAACTTGTGCTACATATTTGAACATATCATCTCTCTACTCCTTTTCTCTATTTCTTACTATCATGAGCACCATCATGGAAACAGCACCTCAGTCTGGTAATTATGGTACCTATCCATACTAGGAGTCATATAAAGCCTGGCATAAGGTTTCGTCACAGCTTTTACTGAAATATAAACTACAAGCAACATCACAGAGAAGGCTGGCATTTGACTTTTTCAGGGAAAACCAAGAGTAGGTGACAGTGTGTACATTCAAGTTCTCTCTACAAAAAACAAAACATTAAGACAAATTCAGTCATTGCCTTCATCTGCTGACATCACAATCAAAGCGAAGATTATATTAAAAATAGCCATGTGCTGTATAATCTGACATATAGTGATAGGTCATTTGAAATACTATACATCATGAATCAGACAATGTGAACTAACCTGATCAGAGCCTTTTCTCCAAAGTAATCTCCTTTATGGAGATTTTTAATCAGCTGAGGCTGCGAATGATCTGCAGTACTCTGGGTAACTATTACCTGGAAAGTACAGGAACAAAAATTCAGTAAGGAAAGTTTCCAAGTATTGCATGGTTTCCCTTTCCCTTCTGAGTATTTCATAAATGTCTTAAATTCAGTAATGATGCAGAAAGAGTTACAAATGTATATAATTACTCCCTCCTCACAAAAATTAAAACCTTCAAACATTCTATGATTCTGTGATCTCTGATTTTTGCTGAGATGGAAAAATTAATATATTCATTACTGCCCAACCCCCAACATTTTCTCCTCTTATCTTTTAAAACGGAGCAAAATAAATTGCATTTTAATGAAAAACTGAAAAGTGCTTCAGTTCCCACAGTGGGCAGGCATCATATGAGCTTTTTATCTTCTCAGCTAAACATAGCCTCCACAAACGTTAACTCACATCTCCTGTCGTTAAATTCCACGTCCACAGTAGCACACATTCTGCTGATGCCACAAACCAAATCAGAATTATCTCCAGACACAGACATGTTTTGGAAACTCAAAAACCCAACTGGAAGTTTATTGATGAAAATTCTGATTTGATTCTTTAGAGTCCTGTGTCTGCCTCCAATCTAACAGCTGATGGATAAAGGCTGCTGCCTTACTCTTCTGGGAGAAGGAATAGACCCTGAGTCACCTAGAAGGCCACTCTCCATTTAACCTAGGACTCTGTTATTTCTTAGACATTTCACAAGTCTATAGCTTGCCCATCAGATACTGAAACATTCAGGAGAAGACATAGGACCAAATCTCATTTACAAAAAATAGACTTTACATCTCTGTGTCAGTGTCATGATGCTTCAGGACATACTTCAATTACATTATAATTAGAACAGTGTAACATGGGTTCATTGTGAAAATTAGGCTCCCTGAATCTCTGAAACGCTGCTCCAGGCTTTTATCATAGTGCTGTGAACTTAATAGCATCCTCAAAAGCTCTCTGCACAGATTTTACTATAGACCAAAGACCACATCCTTCAAAGTAGCTTTTGAAATACAGATGTATATGTTACTTTGTAAATTAGGTTTATTACATCTTACCTTTCCTTTTGCTATTATGAAGAAGGTATTGCCTTCTTCTCCTTCCCGAATAACATAATCTCCCTTTTCATAGTACTCCTGTTGTGGAAGGAGGCGAAGAGAGAGGCAATATTGTTCAATACGTGATTAGCTTCTTTGAAAATTCTGATTACCATGCAGAGTTCTTAATACATATGGATGTTCCAGTGATGTTTAACTTCCTATCTCCTGCGTATGTTGCATTCCATAATATGCAATCATTCCCCTAAATAAAGCATGGCATCCAATCTGTAACATATCTTCATGCAGCAGCATGTTGTTTGTTAAAAAACATACTAACACTGGTATTATCCTTATGAAGCAGGGGGAAATGAGAGGAAAAACCTCCAAAATAAAAAGCTCTTAAAAGAGTTCTAGATCAAAATCCCATTTCCAAAAGTAATTCTGGGCTTGACACCTCAGTGGGAATGCCTAAGTCATTTATTGCAAGCTATGAAAGCATCAACTTTTCTGTGCATGCTAAGGAGCCCTGCCTTCATTATTAAACTTTCAATCAAGCATTTTTCCATGTTAACTTTCAGCTTCGTAATCTGTTTCTCATAAATATTCCTCATTTTTTTCTCCTCTAAGTGTTTCATCTTAATAAAGGCTGGATTATAAATCCTCTTGTCTACTTGCTTGGTTCCTTTCACGTCAAAGATATAACTAGCTTTTATGCCACTAAATGTTATTATTTGATGCCAACCTGGAATTCTACTCCAACCACTTCAAAACCACTGTCATGTTAAAAAAAGCTTGGCTGCTTTTTAATATATATTTTTTTTACTTATTTATTCTTCTTTGTTATTTTGAAAGCTTATTGAATACTGTTCAGAAAAACTTAACAGTCTCTTACCACCTCCAGGCAGTCTATGATCTTGGTCAACTTATCCTCAGGTAAGTTTTTCAGCAAGGACACGCTTCCAGAAAACAGAAATGCAAAACAAAACCAACCAAACAAAAGCAAACAACAAAAATAGTTGTCATTAACACTGTTTTAATGATCTCATATATACAACTTCAGTACTACTTGGACAAGTACTAAAAGAGAATCTAGCCATGGTGATGATTTAGTGAACTTGCTGGTGAGAAAGAAAAAACTTCCCATCCTAAGCACTCAGACTTGTAAAAGTTAGGAAATCATAGAGCTCTCCAGCCACCCAGGCTCAGCTAAGGAGTATTTATAGAAATCAAAGGTGGAGATGGATGCAAAAATACACACGACATTCTCTGCACGGCCAGGCCTGAGGTCTTGATTTGAAGCCAAAACAGAATGGTAATTCTTTGTTAAAGAAAGAAAATATGAAATCAGCTGATTATGGTTTGGAACCTCTAATTTGACTTTCTTTTTAAGGAAAAGCACTGTACTACTCTGTGTTCCATGCAGGAGGAAGAATTATTTTACTCTGCAGATTTGCTAGTAATTTATATTGGTTCATAAATTGAGAGACATGCAGTTCTCATATTCAAGTCTCCAAGGGATGAAGATTGCTTAATCTATTCCTGCAGCAAATTAACTTCTACGTGAAGGATTTATTTAATATATTGTTTTAACTTCTAGCCATGTAACCTTCCCATACATTTCTTCCATTACTTAAAAGCCTTCAAGAACCTATTGCTGTTTCCTAATGTAATACAGGATAAGAACAATCAAAATGAGAAAAAAGATTTTATGACTCTTCAAAAGAAAAACTAAGAGATGTGAGTATTGAGGCTTTTGAGGCCCTTTGCATTATGAGCACTTCTTTCTCTTTGTAAGGCAGACTCTGTATTGTGCACCTTACGAAGAAGCTGAAACCAGTATTAGAAATATAAATGCATTATATTTACCTTCTAAGGAAGTTTCTGTATTGCTCTTGTCTTGTTTGTGCTGTCACTCTCATGATATTTTGAAACACTTCTCTGTCCAATGCCCATGTTTTAACACTGGTGATTGCTTAAGAAAACAAAAGCCAACAACAAAATCAACAATGCTTCCCAATAATGTGATGGAAGATATTACAGTATCAGGTCATGGTACTAGGCAGACTATCTCTTCCAAAATGCCTAAGGCCAAATTTTAGAGTATATAGCAGCTACTGCATCAGACTTGTAAAAGAATTCAGTTTCCACTTAAACAATGCCCCCTAAAGTAAGGCATAGTTTTCCAAATGGCTCCTCCACACAGCCACACAGCACTTTCCATGCAAATCCACAGGCTGCGTAACCTTGAAAACCTAGCCATTTACTATGAACACAAACAGGGCTGAATACTTCTGATGATCTACTTGTAATCATGGACAGTCATTGCATTCAAAAGCTGCAATGTAATCTGCAAAGGAGCTTATTTGAAAGAAAAATTTGGCTGAATTTATCATTTATGAGATAAATGTTGAATAATATGTCTTGGACCCATTTCTAACTCACATTACATGCAAAGTTTGTGAGACAGGCAGTAAGATAGAAATAACAAAGGTCAAGATATACATTTTATTTAATCCTGTGATCCTCACACAGTTTTCATAGAATCATAGAATAGTTAGGGTTGGAAAGGACCTTAAGATCATCAAGTTCCAACTCCCCTGCTATGGGCAGGGACACCTCACACTAAACCATGTCACCCAAGGCCTCATCCAAGCTGGTCTTGAACACTGCCAGGGATGAAGCATTCACATCATCCCTGGGCAACCTATTCCAGTGCCTCACCACCCTAACAGGAAAGGATTTCCTCCTTATATCCAACCTAACCTTCCCCAATGTAAATCTAAACTTTCCTCCAATGTAGCCATTTTGTAAGGGAATAAAGAGTAATCAAAACATTAATCATTATCTTTCGAGGGGTAATCAAAATATTAATACAGTAAACACGCATAAGATCCAGCATCAAAGGTGCAAACCACTAAGTGGTCTCTATGTGCAATCAGTGGCATAACAGAACACATTGCCCTTTTTAGTTTAAGCAAAATAAGGTGATTCTGTTCAATTTAGTATCTTATTTTAAAAGACATTACACCATATTCAACAATTTTCCTTCTGTCATAAGAAGGAACAAAGCTGTTTTCTCTGGGATAAAGGAAAGCTGCAGAAAAAAATAAAGCAATTGATCTCAATTTATCATGCACACAGAATACAGGAAAGAAAAATGCCAGGTTTAAAATTATGCACAGTCATTGTTCTTTGTACTTAACCCTGATATACACATATGCTCTCAACAGCCATTTATCAAAATAACTCAAAAATAGTTTTGGATGTTGGAAGGGAGAACAAAGGTATTGCTTTGGTTTTGTTTTTCTCCTGAATAACATCTTTCAGGTTACTTCGTATGAAGAAAATATGGCAAGTATCCAAGCTATCGTGGACGCTTTTCCTGTATCTTGCACCTTAACTAAAGAAAACAATTATATAGCTAGAAAAGTGCATGTAATTTCAAAAATGAGACAGAGAAATTTATAAACATAGGAGTAAATCACATTCCCAGTGTCAAATACAGCTACTGAATGTAAACATGCTGTTGTATAGCAGCAGCCATTGAAATGCTGTCTGTCTGAAGTCCTTCACTTCTCAGTTTTCAAAGACTGCAGGCAAAGGGCGTCTCTTAATCCAGTATCAAGAAAGAGTTTTCACATATGTATTTACTAGTCATTTATGGCATTGTACTGCTCTTCCTTCACAACCAGAAATATAGGAAAGCTATTGGGGAGGGGCAGGTTTCTGCAGGGATTTAAAGTAATCAGTTTCCTGTCCGTAACTTGACAACTCTTGTCCTACCTCAAAACCAACTAATGTTAACAAAGGTTTAAAGCAGCATAACATCTTACTATGCAGAAACACTACTTTATAATGCTAATACTATACAGCAAGCAAAACAGGAAAATAGGGAACACATTCAAGTAGATCAGTGTGCTAGTAAGAAAAATAATCACGTTATTGATGCTGCTCTGTTTATCAGGCAACAAAAACAGATTAGATGTAATAATTTCCATCTGCACAGCCATCAATGATCAAGTGCTTAAACTGGGAGCAGAAAGAAATACCAGGAGCTTTTAAAGCTAACAACTTCTTGTTTTATTCAATTTGCTCATTTTTAAGTCAACATGAACTCTTCATTCTTACTGGTGGTTCAAAGTCCCTGCAGATTTAGACAGGAAAAGAAATTAGTCTCTAAGCACAAATTTTATGGAATGGTAGAGAGGGAAAATTGAGATTTTTATAATATTTGGTCACTTCCTGGTGTGACACAGAATAATTATGGCAGGTTAGAAAATGAATTAAATGGTACTTAGTGAATGAATATCAAGTTTTATGCAGGAAGAGGCGTATATGTGTCAGAGCAACACTTAACAACTCCATCCAGGTCTGCTAGTAAACACAAAGCAAAAGATACTATTTGTCTCAGAGAAGCAGCACATCTCACCTGGAAGTTTCACCTTTTCCTCCACCACATTTGAGATCAAACTGAAATCTCCTGAGTGCCAGTTGCAAATACCAGGTGCAAGTGAATATTGGCAAGACTCAGTAACTTAACGATACAGAACTAAAAGAAGTAAAACAGCAACTAACTCCTACATATTTTATTTCCTCTTGAATTACACTTTATCTCCCCTTTGAAAACACCACGGTTTCAAACTAACTGTAATTTCAGCCTCAGAGTTGCATTTGATGCAAGAAAGAACATAAGAGTCAAAGACTGCCACTGCTACTGAATCATTCAACATTAAAACGTAGCCATTCCATAGCAGATAGTTTGGTACAGATCTGGCTAAACAGCAGATCTATAGATGCCTAATTGTTTATCAAAAGTCATGATAGAGATGGAATTATATTCATGGCATAGTGTTAGAGTTCGCAAGCAGAAGGAACTCAAGAAAGGAAACATGAGCTTACTGTAGATAATCAGGACACGCAGAAATGCATTCAATGAAAACTTCAAAGATAACCTGGCTGTAACAAGGACCTCACAAAAATTCACAGTTTTCTTTTTGACCAATGTTGTTATAGTAAACCTTAGGTACCTTTCACAGAGGCTGTCCGTGTGCAGTTGTATAAAATGGCTAGTTCACCAAATGCCGTCCACACAGGTATTGAGGAGAGTAGTTTATCCTGCTGAAAGACCTCCAGGCTGCCCTCTGTCAAAAATCATCAGGATAACAAGCATTAAAACTGAGCTCAACTGCACAGAGTGAAGAGAATACAAAACAATATTCTGCCTTTGCCACTCCCTGGAACAAAGGAAGAGGAGCAACACCTGCAAAACAGTAGAGGTTTGTGGGGCTTTCTGGTGTTTATTTTGTTGGGATTCTAGGGGAGAGGGATGGTTGTTTTTTGGTTTGGTTTGGTTTTGGTTTTGTTTTGTTTTTTAAATGTATTGCTAATCTAGAAATCTACTCTGGAAGGGAGGGAAAGCAGAGAGAAACCTTTCAACACTAATAGGCCATGGAAAACAGCCCTTCTAAATCCTGATGGGATAAACCTTTGCTACAACAAAACAGTCAGTACAGGTTCAGATAGCCTACTGTAGCATAGACAGACCAGTCTTAACACTGAACTCCTGCGGTTTGCCTGTTTATACTTGTTTATGTATATATGTGCAGAATGCAAAGGAAAGGACAGAAAAACAAAAAAGCACATTAAATCCTCAATAAACTGTCTTTGAGCCTTACTACAAACCTAGCAAAAGTCAATCTGAATTTCTTCATAGGTTATGGTCCAAAAAAACCTTCTCCTAAATATGTTCTGAAAGCTTAGCCCTCTTCTCTCCAAGAGACCCACTGACTCCTCAAAAAATGTCTCATGTGCCAGAAAAATTTCCATGTGCACAACTTCCTCATATTTTATCTGTTTTCCAAAATGTTATGATTTTGTCTAGCAAGAATATGACTAACAGATTACAAATCCTGCCTCCTTTTTCTCCCTGCACCATCTATGTTATCCTAACACAGTGACCATCAATCATATGAAGCAAGAAGCCAGAAGGTGTGCTTTCCAAAAATCTGTCGTTTGAGATTTGAGTCACAATGGCAGTCAGCACAGATGACTACTGCAGTGAGATTACTTCAGACCTGCTGTCAATACTTTAGGAAAGTCTTCCTATCCGAAGGCTTTTTTGTTGCTGTTGCAGCTCTTTTGAAAACAAAACAGACCTCTAATCTTTGAGAACAATAAACTCAGAACCTCATCTTGCAATTTCCCCATACACAGAAAACTGGTATAAGCTTCCATGAATGTTGAAAAGTAAATTTGTTTCAGAAGTGGCTTCATTATTGAGCAGTTTTCTGTGTTTTAAAGTGTACTTGCTCTTCGTTTGGCTATAGCTACAACAGAAAGGATTTGCTGACCTATAGGCTTTCAGAAATGAAATACGCCATGAAATAACATTAAATCAAGGTTTAAGTTTCTAAGCCTTTTTTTTTTTTTGTTGCTCTTACTCTGTTTCATAAAACTCACAGGCAAAACTTGCATTGCCCTCAGTAGGGCTGGCAAAAATGATTTAAGAGCACAAACATCATCACTGTGGTTTCCTGCAAAGACTTCTAAGCTGCGTTCCACTTTCTCACACTTGTGTGTTATATGAGTAAGCAGTATTCACCTTTGAGCACAAAAATGTGATTGCCTGGCTCTCCCTGTCTGATGACATAGCTCCCTTGCTGGAAAGTCCTTTCATACATACATTCCACCATATCCCGGATCTGGTGAGGCTCCAGTCTCTTCAAGAACTGATTTTTATTCAGGGCATCTGTGATAAGTTTCTTCTCACTGGTTTCAAACAAACAAACAAACTTTAAAGATCCAACATGGTTGAGGAATATTATTCACTTGGCATTCATTCCTCTCTAGCTGTTTCCTCTCATTTCTCACACTCATATGACCAGTACCACTGACAAATGTTACAACACTTGCAATCAATATGCATACCCATTAGCAGTACCATGCTATGGTCTCTCTTCTCCTATGTGACCCTGCCTGCAGAAAGCATTATCTTAGATGTAAAAAAGCTCCCAGTAGAAGACATGCTCCCCAGAAAGTTTTGGACTGTTTCTCACCATATTCTTTCCCTGTTGCACAACTAAGATAAATGCACTTGCTTACCTGAAGGAAAGAAATGTGAAAGGTATGACTTTCCATACCACTGCCTCTACAGGAATGGCAACTTGGTATAAAATCAGACCCACTTCTCTAAAATTCTATCACATTTTTCCTAATACCCAGCAAAAATGTAACACCGATGATAGCAACAGGGTTAAAGTCAACACTGATGGTATTAAGACCTCATCAAGAGTTTCTCCTGTGTGGTGAGGAAAGATGCAAGGAAATAAAAGTACACAAAAAATGATTTAACAGCTGCTGGTTTTGATTAGGGAAATATTAGAAGACACTGTTAGTGGGAAAACCAAAGCAAGTTGTACTGCTTTTAGGAATTTTTAGAATACAATCAGAAGTAAAAATGTAATACAAGGGCTTGTGGATATAGGTATGCAACCATTAATGCTGACCTCTTTGCTTTCTGATATTCAGCATTTATAGCACACTTTGGTGATGCTACAGCAAACTACAGCCATCCTGAGTTATTTTGTTAAAAAGTCTTTAGAAAAGCTTCAATCCATAAAAGACAGTGGTTGGATTTTTAAGAAGAAAATGTGGAAAATACAACAGTGCTTAAATCCACTAACCAACCAAAACAAAGCTGGCTACACATACATACATACATACATGACAATCTATGAGTTCTGGCTGACTTGTGTATGTTCTAGGTCAAGGGCTGCCTACAAAGCAGTGTCTTGAATCCATGCCAGAGTGAAAGCAGTTAAACAACTGCTGCACTGATGGAGTTTTTATGGACCTACTGATTACTTTGACTTTACTGTTGAAGTGAAAGATAAATTCTGCCTTCAAGTCCTTTCCTTAATGTGCATGTGTAAGGAAGCTGTATAACAAAATAAACACTCTAACAACTTTCTGAGGCATTTAAAGTTCACTTTTGCTTGTATTCATAAAAACACAGCACAGTTATAATCAAAAATACGCTGCATGGGAAAACCTCCTGAAGAATATCCAGGAATATCCCATCCTGAGGGACCATGACAAGCTTGTGAGATGGACCGATGCCAGCTTTATGAAGTTTAACCATGCCAAGTGCAAGGTCCTATACCTGGGTTGCAGCAATCCCAGGCACAGCTACAGGCTGGGCAGAGAAGAGATTCAGAGCAGCCCTGAGGATAAGGACTTGGGGGTGCTGGTCGATGAGAAAACGAACATGAGCCAGCTTCAGTGTGCACTCACAGCCCAGAAAGCCAACCGTATCCTGGGCTGCATCAAAAGGAGCGTGACCAGCAGGTCAAAGGAGGTGATCCTGCCCCTCTGCTCTGCTCTTGTGAGACCTCACTTGGAGTACTGTGTACAGTTCTGGTGTCCTCAACATAAAAAGAACATGGAACTGTTGGAACAACAGAGGAGGGCGATGAGGATGATCAGGGGACTGGAGCACCTCCCGTATGAAGACAGGCTGAGAAAGTTGGGGCTGTTAAGCCTGGAGAAGAGAAGGCTGCATGGAGACCTCATAGCAGCCTTCCAGTATCTGAAGGGGCCCTATAAGGTTGCTGGGAAGGGACTCTTCATTTGGGACTGTAGTGGTAGGACAAGGGGTAATGGGTTCAAACTTAAACAGGGGAAGTTTAGATTGGATATAAGGAGGAAGTTCTTTACTGTAAGGGTGGTGAGGCACTGGAATGGGTTGCCCAGGGAAATTGTGAATGCTCGATCCCTGGCAGTGTTCAAGGCTGGGTTGGACAGAGCCTTGGGTGACATGGTTTAGTGTGAGGTGTCCCTGCCCATGGCAGGGGGGCTGGAACTAGATGATTTTGAGGTCCTTTCCAACCCTAACTATTCTATGATTCTATGATTTCATGAATGAACAATCAGTTAAGTCAATTTAAGTAGACTTACAATGTTACTAGCCATATAATGACTGAAAACAAATAAAGGTGATGAAATGAGGCAAGAAAAATAAAATCAAGTAGCTATGGTGAGGAGTGTGTTTAGAAATAGAGATAACAACTCAACTTCTGCTGAAAACAACAGGGTTATTAGAACATAAGCTCTAACTTTGTTTTCTGATTGCTTATTTAATTCACCCTGCCCTGATCATACATACAATACTGCAGTAAAATACAGTAATGGCTCATAAACTGTTACTTAAAATGAGCACTAAAGCTTCCAGAACTACAGGAGACTATGCTGTTTTCAAAAAAATGCAGTTGGCCACAGACCAAAGGACACATGAATATCATAACCATGGCTCAGGCTCTTGAATCAGTTTCTTGCTCATTTCATGGGCAAACAGCATAATATCTATCTTACAGTCGTGTCTTTGCTGTTTCCTCACTTTCTCCTATACCTGCCCCACTTCTGCAAACTGCTGCTGGACATAACTAGAGGTCCTGAAAGGACGAAAGATGTTTAATCCTGTACTTGAGCCAGTCACAGTCCTGATGAATACTACTAAAAGGCCAAAAGTGGGTGCACAACTCCACACAACTGGTCTGGTGTTGAGGTATTTATTGGATCCACCACTAGTAGGACTTCATCGCGTGGGGCTAGCTAAGCCATTAGCATCCTTCTCCAGGCTTTTCTCCCCTCCTTGCTGTTAGGTCTTGTGGAAATGTTACCCCTGCCCCTTTCAATACATTCCCAGTAAACCCCCAGGATGAACACTTGACACTCTATGAAGGGCTTCTTGTGAACAGAATCGGGAATTTAGTCCCATCATGAGACAGTCATCTCACAGGTACAAGCGTACAGCATATACTTTACAGAGCAATCCTGTCTCTTATTATACGTTTCTGCTACTAATGGGAGATTTTTGGTTATCTGATGTCTTTGACTGGTAAAAGACATCAATGTCAAGTCTCAAGATAGTTCTTCCCCAACAAATAACTGTTGATAACAGAACTGAGTCACAATCCAGACTTAATGTAGGCAGCTTAAATTCTGAGGATGGTGATAGCATTCTCTGGAAGGACACAAAAATAGAGAACCAGGTCCTAGAGATACTGAAACACATAGATTCTGAACACTGCAAAGGGTAACAGATTAAAAAATTCTCATTTGAAAGACCTTAGAGACCTGCTTTCATATACCTTGTTCAAACTCCAAAAGCTTGAGGCTTTAGTTAAATTTTAATGCTCAAACTTCCATTAAGAAAAATCTCAAACACTCAGTTTTGGAAACTGAGATGGATTCATCCAGCTAGCTTAAGAGATGAAATATAGACATGAGAAAACAATAATACAGAGAGATCAAGAACTACTGAAAGCTTCTAAAACTGTCATTAAAAGAATTCATGCTGAGATACTCAAAAGCGTGCCACTTAAACCCCTACTAAATGAATAGCATAAAATTGTGCTTTTTAAAAATGCTTCTAAAAGGGATTGGTAACCCTCTAGATTCAATGCAAATTCAAGAATAAAGCATGCAGCTTCCCTTCCTTCTGAAATAGTTCCTTTCACAACTGTGGAGTAACATAGGTAAGGAAACCTTCCAGCATTTGGCTGTCTCCACATCAGGCAATGGTGGCTTAAACAAGCGCAAATGTAGCACAGGCTTTCCTGAGCAGCATAGTAGTGCTATGTGTAAAAACAGTTTTGTGGTATTTTTCTTTGCATCTGTTTGCTTCAAAAGTATTTGGAAGATCAAATGATCTTCCACTATCACGTCAAAAGATGTCTCTGCCCCTGAGAAATCTGAGCAAATTCTTTCACTATTACTTGACCTGTTACAGAAAGCATAAATTCTTCCCTCTGCGACTATAATGTATGTTAGTTTACAAACAGAATCACAGAAAGGCTGGAAATGGTGGGAAAGAAAGGGGAGGATGGCGTGCTCTTACTGCCAATGCAGTGCATGCTTAAGCAGTCAGTTATTTCAGGGGAGTAAATATCTGAATAAATTTAGGAGTGGTGTGCTCTGAATTGTTATGAATCTATGGGAGACTCAGCAGTAACAATGACAATCTCTAAACCAGACTGTAAGAGATGAAAGGAGGGAAAAGGAAAATAACTGCTCCTTTATCCTGTTGTTACACTAAATCTTCTAGAAAAACAACAGAGATGGTATGCAACAAGAAAAAAAGAAAATGTTTTTAGAAGTGCTGAATGAAGAAGGAAAATTTTAAGACAGGTAATTACAAATAGAACACTCCTAAAGCAAACAATTACTTAAACTGCCCAAGTACTTGTGATAAAATGTTAATACCATTCCTTTACACTGGAAAAACATTGCTAGCTGAAGATTTCAGCTCCTTATGGTGATGCTACAGCACACTGGTGACTCAGGTAGCTTTTCTGTTTCACAAGACAGCCTCTAATGTGCAATGATGGACATAATGGAGGGGAAATCTGATAACTCTCAGGTCTACTACAGTACAGACTCAGATTGTACCTTGAATTCTTAACAGAATGATAAAGATCCCCACAAACCTGAGGCACTTAAGATGCTGGCTGACACCCAGATAGATTCTGGCTACCAGCATGCTAAAACAGATACTCAGGTTATGTCTACACTGCAAAGCAAAAGAAGGTCTAAGGTATGCTGAAAGTTAGCAGTCTGATACCTCTGTCCACAGGGTCAGCTGCGACCACAGAGCTCCACAAGGAGGTTACCACTTCTTGTGTGTGAGTTGAAGAAGAGGTATTTTTTGCTTTTGCAGAGGCTAGAAGTGTACTCACAGAGGAACAAGCAAAACCAGGTTCCTACACCATGACTGTCAGAAGCTGGGCAGGAGGGTAAAGAGGAAGCTGATAAGAGAATAATCACACTACACAACAGATTTCACATTTCACACCAGACTGAGTTGAAACTAGGCCTACAAACTTTGTACACAGCTCAGAATCGGTGTCCATACTGCATCTGAAAGTGCTGAGCTGGGGCCACCTCCTCCTTTCTAAAGTTGTCCATGCAATGGGAATAAGAATCCTAGAATCCTAGAATAGTTAGGGTTGGAAAGGACCTTAAGATCATCTAGTTCCAACCCCCCTGTCATGGGCAGGGACACCTCACACTAAACCATATCACCCAAGGCTTCATCCACACTGGTCTTGAACAGTACCAGGGATGAAGCATTCACAACCTCCCTGGCCAACCCATTCCAGTACCTCACCACCCTTACAGGAAAGAATTTCCTCCTTATATCCAATCTAAACTTCCCCTGTTTAAGTTTGAACCCATTACCCCTTGTCCTATCACTACAGTCTCTAATGAAGAGTCCCTCCCCAGCAACCTTATAGGACCCCTTCAGATACTGGAAGGCTGCTATGAGGTCTCCACGCAGCCTTCTGTCCTCCAGGCTGAACAGCCCCAACTTTCTCAGCCTATCTTCATACAGGGGGTGCTCCAGTCCCCTGAGCATCCTCGTCGCCCTTCTCTGGACTTGTTCCAACAGTTCCATGTCTGAAACCATGTGAAGGCCTCCAGCCTTTGGCTCATCAGTGTTCCAGAGTACATCTTTAGCTGCAAGCACAACGTGTATCCAGACCTGAGAAGAGGCTTAGGTTCTGCTTCACTGGCAGTAAAGATAAATCCCAAAGAGACTTATTGTAAGAGTCTCTCCTCCACTAAAACACAGAGGCTACCCACCACTCTTCATCTGCACTCTGTGGGACAGAGATGATTCTTGCTTAAAGTTGCACACAAACTCAGCCAGCACCAAACCACCACAGTGATAAAGCCAATATAAAAAAGATGGATACTTTAATCTCGATTTATCATAAGGAGAGGATATTATTGTGATAACATTTCTATCTCTGTAACTCAAGCATGTAATCTCCCTGAAATGAGCTCACCTGGAATCCTTTCGGACTGTTGCTTTTTCCAAGGAGAACGTAATTTGCCTGTTCAAATCATACAGCCGTGTCGTCGGCTCTGCAGATACACCTTCCTTGGCTCCTCTTCTCCTGTCAGCAGATATTTGAATCCTTGAAGCTGCTTTAAAAGGAGAAGGCTGAAGAGAGTGCTCTCCTTGAGTGCTAACAACATCCTGCAGCTTGTTCAACTGTATACACTTGCTGTGAAGCTCCTTGGTGAGTTCTGCTATGACCTTAGCCTGCATAGCCAGCTGTTCCTGAAGCTCAGCAACACAACTTTGACCCTCTTGCAACTCTAGGTCTTTTCTCTTCAGTTCCTTTTCCAATTCAAGCACCCTGCTGCAAAGAATATCAGCTTGCTCGCTGGTCACATTGATGCCTAGCCCTGGGTCCTTCAAAAACTTACGGTTGCCACCACAGCCAATAGAGAGGTTTGCCACATGTCTGTCTGTTCGTCTCAGGTGCTTGGGTTTCACTAATCCATTCCCCATTTTGTCCAGAGACCTGGGTGAGAAAATAAATTTGCAGTTTTACTTCATTCACCAACAAGAAAAAAATAATCATGCAATAATAAGTAATGAATTTAGTCTTTAACTGGCAACTGAATTTGAGACATACAACTATTGTAAACATAGCTGATTGCTTTCATCCTTTACAGCCCTGAAAATCAGAGCATGGCAAAGAGAAGAAGTAGGTAGATGGTGGATACAAAGCAAAGGATCTGATGGTTACCACTTCTTGTTTGTGAGTTGAAGAAGAGACGTGTAACAAAGACAAAGAAAACCTCAAAATCCAGCAGGAAGCAGAAAAGCTTGCACTGTACTGCAGAAGCAAGAAAACTGTTAGAAGGAGGAGCCTGTTACACAGGATCCCCAGGGAAGCAGTCAGAGCACCAAGCCTGTCAGCATCTCGATGACGCTCCTAGTCGTGTGATTTAGTTTTAGGTATTTGTGTGAGGAGCAGAGAGTCGGACTCAATGATCCTTACAGGTCCTTTTTAACTTGAGATAGTCTATGAATTCTGTGATTAAAAAAAAAAAAAAAAAGAGTTGGATCACTTTCCAATTGAGGAATAATTACTGAGTACACGGACTTGTTTAATCTGTGGGTGCGCAACTGCCTGGCACAAAGGATATGTGATTATTAAACACATGTTAATAATACTAAAACAAACAAACAAACAAACTTTAAGGGTTATGACCATAAAAGAACAGTCATACTGATCAGAATAAGGGTCTTGCTGGCTTGTAAACTATCTCAACCATGGCCTTAAGGAGATGCCCAGCAAAGGATCAGCACATAGGCTGCTTGACTGAAATACTGTCTGAGATTTCAGATTTCCTGAGCCTGATATGCTTTATTTAATCCTCAATGGATCTGTAATACTAGTACTTGTCCCATTTCCCATCTAACCCCTGTAAACTTCATATCTGCAGACCCTGGCAGGACCCTAGTGAGGATTTGTACAAGTCTGCTTTTTGCATGAGGAACTACCTCCTTTAATTTGTTTCTTCCAGTACAAAACCAGAGATACAAAATGTAGGAAAATCCAGTTTCAGAAAGGCATCTTTATTAACCTTTTCTCTACTACTTTGTAAATTTCTGTCCTACTTCTCTGCCTGCACATATTTCTGAATTCTTTCCCAGAATGAGAAGTCCTAGTTTACTCAGTCCATTCTCATATAAACATCACTCCAAATGTTTGACCGACCTTGCTGTTTTTTGCTGACGCCAAATTCAGAGCATCACAGACCTAATTTAATCCTATAAAGAACAGGCAGGTGGCACTGTTTCTGTAGCTCTGTCGTTTTAAACCGCCTCACATTTGTTGCTGCAACAGCAGCTACTACCTTCAAGGAACAATTACCTTTTGAGAGGTATGGGGAATTACCCTTTGGCTAGTCTGGGTCTCCGTTCCCTCCCAGCTTCTTGTGCCCCTCCTCAATGGCAGAGCATGAGAGACTTGAGAAGTCCTTGATCAAGGTAAGTGCTCTGAGGAACAACTAAAACATCTGTATGTTATCAGTATTACTTATACTAAAGCCAAAACCCAGCACTGCACCAGCTACTAGGAAGAAAATTAACTCTACCCCATATGAAACCAGGACACTCACCTTCTTCCCTGCACACTGTCTTTGGTATATTTTATTGTATAATTTCAAGAGGACCAAGGAAGAAGTGCCTGCTGCTTAGGTCAAACTATATTAAATGTACAAGTTGAGCTGGAGACAAAAATTAACACATTCCTTCTTTTTAGTCTTGGGAAGCAATGTCTGCCTATAAATCCCATCTGCGAGCCAACAGTGGCAGGTTACAGTTTGGTTTAGTTCAAGCGTAAGGAGACCTTCAATAGGAGAAAAGGAATGAGCATAAGGCTGCATTTCCAGGCCTTAGTACCACACTCAGAGCTCTTCCCAAAACACCTGCTCAGGCTCCTGAATCCTGCTTGACTGTATCCTGCTCAGCTGTATCCTGTTACTGCAAAAGACCACAGCACAGAAAATACCTGCCTTAGACTAAACAGAATTTTCTTCTTTGGACTGTGGTTTTTGCCTCATCAATAAGCTATTTTAATAAGTTTTATAAAAGTACTGATGTACTAACCAGGCACTAACCATACTGCTATCATGATCAGTCATCGGTATGGCCAAAAGTAGCTGTTGTTCTGCCTCATGAATAAAGTACAACATTTTCAGGTTGAACCACAAGTGATGTGGCTTAAGTTTTAATTGCTTTTAACATTTCATTGGGTGAGAACACGTCCCTGAAAAGGTGTGTGATCAGACAGCAATAAATAAATTGGGAAGCCACAGCAATTTGCCTTTGCTGGCTATTACAGCCACAATTCTGTTCTGGTTTGCAGCCTTCGGTGGGTTAGAATTGAAATACCTGACAAGGCAGCTCACACTGCAAATCTAGTTTTCCTTAAAACAGTCTTGCTGGTCAACTCTGCTTTGCTTATTGTGACTCTACATAACATTTTTGTTTTATCCCAATTGCTGTATGCATTTTGACAGCTGGTGCTTCAGCTCAGAAACAGGGCAGTATGTCAGAAATAAAGGTAAATCTGACTGCACAAGAGGACTTAAAAAAATGGCACATCAAGGTACCAAATCAAATAACTCTCAAGAAGAACCTATGTGTCACTGCATGGCTTAACCAAAGATCTTGGCTCAGTATGCAAACAAACACAAACAAACCAAACACAACAACAAACCAAACATACCAAACAAACAAACCAAACACAACAACAAAACAACTACCAAGCTAAACTAAATGTTGCAATATTTATAGAGTAAAATATAAAATATACTAATTTTTACTCTATAAAACACCGAGTACAAATGGAGATTATGGGAAGCATGTCATCACACACAGCAGGGTAGCAGCATCCGCTCTAGATGCAGTGGCAATCACCACATTTCAAAAAAGGTATCACAGACATTTTAAAGTTACCTTTACAAACGGATAGTGTGACTGCCACAGGACACAGGAAACCCTACTATTTATACTGTACCCAGAAACACAGCAAGTCCACTGTATAAAGATGATGACTAAAGTTCATAATATAACTGCACCAGAATGAAAAACATCAGGAACTTCTGTCTTCCCATATGTACAGTTAATCATCATGGTACAATGGCACAAGCTAGCTGGATCTGAAAAATCCCTGTTTCCACATGGTGCCAGTTATTGGATACTAAGTATAGGAAACGCATGGCCAAATGTATAGCAGCAATCAAGAAGACTGACAGGTTATTCAGCATTACACTAGTCAATTCTAACAGAAAACTTAAACCCTTAATGCCTCAGAGGTTTGACTAACCTTACCCATAAGGAGTAAGACAAGAAGCAAGAGCAGAACATGCTGTGTTTAGCACAGGGCACCTCACACACTCTCTGAGGGGTCTGTCACCGGCAGAGACGCGGCCAGCAACAGACAGACCCAAAACCCACCCACTAGAGGATGCCGCATGGCTGCTCAAGCGGCTCAGCGCAAGCCGGCTGCCCTTCTCACAAACCGGTGCACCCCAGGCCCGCCAGGTGCCGGTGCTGCCCGGCCAGCTGAGACCCCCGCCCAGCCGCCGGACCCCGGCGTCACCCCGGGGAGGCCGCAGCTCCTCCAGGCTGCGGTCCCGGCTTCCCCATGTCCCCACACGCACCCGCCGGTCCCGTCCCTCACCTGCGCGCTCGGCTGGACCGGGACCGGAACCGGGGCCGAGCGGCGCCAGGCGCAGAGGTTGATGCTCCAGCGCTCGCTGGGGAGCCGGGCTGGGCGGGAACGCCGCTGCCTGTCACGGCCGGCCGGGAGGTGCGGCTGGGCCGGGGCGGGGTGGGGGGAGCAGCCGCGGCAGTGCCCGTGTCCGCCCGTGCCTCCAGCGGCGCTGCGGCGGTGCTGGGCTGTCCCCCCACAGGGGCAGGCAGAGGCTCGCAGGGCGAGGGGAGCCGCCGGCGCTGCGTCCAGGGTCGGGAGGGAGGCGGGTGCCTGTGGTCAGGAGCTGCGGGGCGGACCAGGCTCCTCAGCCCATTCCGCTTCGCAGAGGGGTAAACGCAGGGCCCCAGCGCTCGGGTCATGTTGGGAAGTGTTTGAGTGCTTGATTTCCACTGCCCTTTGCAGGGGTCCTAGCGTGACTGTCGGCTGAGCTGCAGCAATGGAGCCGCAGCCCTTATTGTCTGGAACTGGCCCCCAAGCCTCACTGCACAGCCCTCCTGCAAAGCACCTTCTCATGCCCCAGGGTCTGTCCTCACCCAGGCTGCAGCACCACAGCATCCTCCAGAATGGAGCATGGATATGGGCAACACTGATTCTTAGGAGAATACAGGTGTCACAAGGGCTGTTCTCTCCTGCATGATTCCGGTGATTCAAACCAGCTGCATTCAAATCAAGTTTTCGAACACCCTGTGAAACCATGAGAAAGGGGCTGTACAAGAGCTGAAAAGCTGCATGCACAACTCTGCTGTCAAGCAGACTTGGTCTAACCCCGACCTGTAGCTTCTAGGACAGTGACCCTTCAATCTTCAGTACTTAAAAGGAGCCTGTAAGAAAGCTGGAGAGGGACATTTTAGCAGGGCCTGTTGCAATAGACGAGGGGCAATGGTGTTAAACTAAAAGAGGGGAGATTTGGGCTGGATGTGAGGAAGAAATGTTTTACAGTGAGGGTGGTACAACACTGGCATAGGTTGCCCAGAGAGGTGGTGGATATGTCATTCCTGTAGGCATTCAGTGCCAGGCTGGATGTGGTTCTGGGCAACCTGATCTAGTTGAAGATGTCCCTGCTTATTGCACGGGGGCTGGACTAGCTGAGCTTTGAAGGTTCCATCCCAGTCCAAACCATTCTATGATTCTATGATCCGACACCAACTGGAACTGGAGGAATCTCCCTTTTTCCTCTCACTCTTCAAAGAAATCAGTCCTAGTCCAGCATCCCCGGTGGTGGGAATGTAGTCCTGCAGTATGAAATGAAAGCTCGACAAGAGAGACCTGAGGATCATCCCCGTCTCAAGGGTGTTCAAGCCTGGTGCTCGAGTGCAAGATCCGTTTGCACTTCCCCTCCTTGCCGCTTTGGTCTCTCTTTTCCCAACTGCTTTTCTCCGGGATACAGTCCTGTGTTCTGTTCTGTGTCGACATCTGGTGGTCGAGCCGGTGATGGCAGATAAACAAGGGAAGCTGAACAAGGGCTGCAGGGGCTTTTTTCTTACACCGTGGCCTAGCAGTAGGAAAACCACACTCTGCTATGCAGCAGGGATCTATTTTCACTGTTGTTCCCCCTCCAACTTGTCGCTCACCTGCTTCCACCACCCCCCCCCCAGCCTCAGGGACCTGCAGCTCCTTGGTGTTTAAGGAGCGGGCTGCTCACCAAACAGGCTGCAGGTCGCATCTGCAAATGCAGGTGTACTTAGAGCCAGAGGAGGCTGTTTCAGCTTGGGGCTTGGTTTGCCGAGCAAGCAGCGTCAGCTACACAGATGTTCCATTTTGCAAAGAATGGCTTTAGTCTGTCCTGCCTGATGCAAATAACTGCATTTTACTTCTCTTTATGAGAGCCAAGAGCAGCTGGCAGCTGGCAGCATTTCCAGATAGTGTGTGTGACCCTCTTGGGTCACCTCCATCTGCATGCAGTCTCCTACCTCCTCTTCTTGGATACATTTTGTGTTTGAACAAGGTTAAACAAGGATGAACAAGAAGTTACTTAGCAAACTCTAGCATAAAAAGGAGACCTACAGAGGGTGGAAGCAAGGATGACTAGGTTGGGAAGAATATAGAAAAATAGAGCAGCCAGGGATTGGGTTAAGAAAGCTAAAGCCCTGGCAGAACTTAATCTGACCAAGGACATTAAAGGCAACAAGAAAACCTCCTATAGGTATGTCAGTGATAAAAAGAAGACAAGGAAAAGTGTTCCCCCCCCCCCCCCCCCCCCGAAGGAAATGGAAGACCAAGTCACCTGGGGCATGGAGAAGGCTGAGGTACTCAATGACTTTTTTGCCTTGGTCTTCACTTGGCAAGAGCTCCAGCCACCTGCCCAAGTGACAGAAGGCAAAGCAGAGACTGGGAGAATGAAGAATCACCCACTGTAGGATAAGATGAGGTTGGAGATCATCTACGGAACCTGAAGGTGCGCAAATCTATTGGACCTGATGATATGCATCTGTGGGTCATCAGGGAACTGGCAGATGAAGCAGCCAAGCCATTATGCGTCATATGTGAGAAGTCATGGCTGTCCGGTGAAGTTCCCACTGACTGGAAAGAGGGAAATATAACCCCCATTTTTAAAAAGATGAGAAAAAAAATTAGACCCAGAAAACTACAGGCTGGTCATTCAGTGCCCAGTAAGACCGTAGTGCAGATCCTCCTGGAAATTATGCTAAGGTGCAGGAACAAGAAGGAGATGATTGGTAGCTGCCAACATGGCTTCACTAAGGGCAAGTCATGCCTGACAAATTTGCTGGCCTGCTGTGATGTGGTAACAGCATCATCAGATAAAGGAAGAGTGACTGATATAATCTACCTGGACTTGTGCAAAGTATGTGGCACTGTCCTGCATGGCATCCTTTTATCTAAACTGGAGAGGCATGGATTTTACTGATGGACTACTCAGTTGATAAGGAACTGGCTAAATGGTTGCAGTCAAAGAGCTGTGGTCAACAGCTTAATGTCCAAGTCAAGACAGTGGAGATTAGTAACAAGTGGTGTTCCTCATGAATCAGTCTTGGGACCAGAGCTGTTAGCATCTTTGTTGGTGGCATGGACAGCGGGATTGAGTGCACCCTCAGCAAGTTTGCCGATGACATCAAGCTGTGTGGTGTGGTCAACATGCTGGAGGGAAGGAATGCCATCCACAGGGACTTCGACAGGCTCACAAGGTGGGCCAATGCCAACCTCTTGTAGTTCAAAAGGGCCAAGTGCAAAGTCCTGCACCTGAGTTGGGGCAATCCAAACACAAATGCAGGCTGAGCAGAGACTAGATTGAGAGCAGCCTGGAGGAAGAAAGACTTGGGGGTGTTGGTTGATGAGAAGCCGATGACCCATGCACATGACCCAACAGTGTGCGCTTGTAGCCCAGAAACCAACCGTATTGTGGGCTGCATCAAAAGGAGCGTGACCAGCAGGTCAAGGGAGGTGATCCTCCCCCTCTACTCCATTCTCGTGAGACCCCAACCTTCAGTACTGCATCCAGCTCTGAGGGCCATGAAGATAATCAGGGGACTGGAGCACCTCTCGTATGAACACAGGCTGACAGAACTGGGCTTATTCAGATCAGAGAAGAGAAGGCTCTGGGGAAAAGTTATAGCAGCCGTCCAGTACTTAAACAGCAGCTAAAATTTTCTAATAAAGGAGAATGAAAAAACAGATTCCAGAAGAGCTTAATGCAGCACAGTGGAATAATGGCAAAGTGTCTGTTGGTATCAGATGATACACTTTCTGGCACTAAACTCTCACTTCTAAACTTATTGAGCTTCATTGATATTGAGTGTGAAATGTCATTTTAACAGACACCTAAACCCAGTAATATTGTAAATAGACTAGTTCCTTTGGAAATCCTTATCAGGCCTGTTCTCAAACTAAAAAACAGCGGTAACACAAGAGCCCATGTCTATAAAGCACAGGTTAGGATACAGTTGCTTGGTAGAAGCAGGCTATGTGGATCCAACTGACAGCAACAGAACAGCTGCATCTGTGACAGAATGCATCTCTAGGGATTAGCCTCTTCTTTTATGTGGGAAAAATCTGCTCAGCATGACCAACGGGAGATAGAGAGGAGCTGAGTGAAAAAGCAGACGCTACCAAAGAACTTCTTGTGAAGCAGAAATACTGCAAAAAGCCCACAAGGGGTCCTGCTGCACACAACTAGCACAAGGAAAGCCGCCCAAAGCGGCAGAAAAAATTCTGCAGAACAGAAGACTGGGAAAATGAGCAGCGTTGTGCCCATTATTAAAAAAAAAAAAAAAAAAAAAAAAAGAAAAAAAGAAAAAAGTTCTTTTTAGTGCTAGATCAAGTACCAGTTTCAGCTCTGTCAAGAACAGGCTGTCTGGGAAGCTTCAACCCCCCAAATCCCCACATGGAGGTGGGGATTTGCTTGCTCTTTTAGAGGTGACAATTGTAAATAAGCTTGCATTTAATTGCATGCAACTCACTAATCTTTTCATGGTGATGCCGTGAAGCTGTATCCAAGTAGGAGAAAAGGTAAATGTTTGGATAAGGACAGGATAAGGACATCTAGACTCTTTTGAGCATAGTTTGAGCAATGGCATCTGTATATGGGTCCATAAGACCTGCAGGTTTTGTCTCTGCACCACAGGAAGAACGTAATGTTCCACAAAGTAAGTAATGTTAAAGCCATTTATACAGGAGACTTCAATGTCACTTCTGTCCCCATTAAGCACTGAACATCTGTTAGCCCCAAGCTGGAATTTCCAGTCATGGGTGAACACTGAGCTTGTGGAATTAATGAGTTCTTGTAACTTCTCATTTCAGAGTTCGTGATGTTTTCTAAAGGAAACATAGAGCTCCTAAAGGGGCTCAGTCATTTTCTCTCCCATTTGCTACAGACAGGTTTGAATGGCTGTTTCTAAACCAGTGGTTCAACAGTCTGACAGTAGCTCAGGATGTTCAAAATTAAAGCTCTGTACAGTGGCTACACCAAATGATGAGCAGAGAGTACAGTGCATAATGAAGCTCATATCGCTCCAACATCAAACATCAAGTTCATTAATGCTCACAGAAGCAGCCTCTGGCTTGCCTGGGGCTAGCTAGGGCAAGCACCAGTTGCAGGCTCTGCACCTGCGTCCAGCTTCTGTGCCAGGCAAGCAGCCGCCTCCTCCATACCAATTACTCTGGTACATGCTGCCTTTTCCCAGCAAGAAGCTGGCCCACAAGACAACACACAGAGCCCACACTGTGGACAGAGGCTGCAATTTTTCCTTTTATTTACAAAGGCTTCATTCCAACTGCATAAATAACAAATCCATCCCTAAATCAGGCTAGTAGTCAAACTGTGTAGGAAATAAGTTATTTTTCCAGGTAAGCTAACCTGGAAAGCCTCTGGCTTTCCCTAGAACTAAAACTGTAAAAATTAGGTTAAGTATTAGGATAGCAAATCATGGAAGCTCATTTATGTACCTGATTATCATAGTATCCTAATTCTGGAAGATGTGGAAGAGGAATACACATTTTCCCCAGCTTTTTACACAAAGTCCTTCCTGTAAGCCTCAACAACGGTGGTAGGATGTAGAGGGGAAGATGGAAAAGACCTCACCTGATGGAAGCTGGGAGGCAAGTCTGTGAACCGCAGCAGTCTCCTTTCAAAGAGTTAGCTCTTCTTTCTCCTTCACCCTAACTCAGTGAATAGGAGGAGAGAAATCCTCCTCCACTGTCATGACTTAAGGCCCTGGTGCTCAAGGAGTATGTAACTCAGTGACTTCCAGCACCTTGTACCAGCAAACAGGCTGTAATTAAGGACAGTATCCCTGTTGAGGGAGGCTTACTAGAGCATGTTGTTACAGAATTCAAAAATAAGTATTTGCCTGAAAAGGCATGGACAGAACATAAATAACGGTTTACCTGAAAACTCAAGAGATGCAGTGCAACAAATAGATATATTTATTCTTATTTCTTTTTTTTTTTTTTTTAATAACAGTGCCACGATAATTGCAAATACCTTTGTTGCCAAGTATGTGCTTTTGCTTAGTGATTTTGTGTCCACAGTGATTTATAGCTACAGTTTCTTTTTTTCCTATTGGGTTTTTCTTAAGATAAATAGAGTGACTAAGTATTTGGAGCTACCACAAACTCATTAGGTGTGTAACACAGTGAACTACTTCACAGTTATAAACATAATCCATAAAGCAAACACACAGGGAGACTTTTGTTCACAGCTGTAGCTGAGAAGAAGCCTCATCTTTTTCTTTTTGGCATCTTGCTATTTCAGTCAAAGTGGATTGTGTTCTCCATTGTTACCCTTTCGAAAAAAGCAGTTATAAAAATTACTTAATAGAAACATACTTTCAAATTTCAACACAGTTTATACACCATTTTCTCAAAAACTATTCTAGAAAAGTCAGCCTGTTCAGCCTAATACAAGAAGAAGGTAAAGTACGGAAAACTAGAGTAGCAAAACCACCTAATAAAAATAAGAATGTCTGTAGCATGTAGTGGTTAGTTGTAACCAACCGAAAGAAACAAAACCCCTCACTAAAAGTTGTAAAGTAGTTCAAGCTACATAGCTACTATATTTTGTAGCAGGTATGTTTTCTACCAGTCTTGATTTTTATTATTTATATTTTTAAATAACTTATAATAATGAGTTTGCCTACCAGCAGCCAACTCAAAACAACAGAAAAAGAGAAAAAACACAGCTACCATTACAGTGGTGGGAAGAAACTCTCCCCAGCAGCCAATTTGTTGCATTCAATCCTTCCCCTTTTTAGCAGTCCTGATCAGGCAAAGTTCATGGCTATATTCAGCTTATTGGGAGTTGAAGTTCTTCAATGCAGACTTGGGTTTCACTGAAAGGGGTGATTTTTACCTCCTCCATAATCTACCATCAACTCTTCAGAGTCCTTGTAGCAGCAAGCTGAAGGAAAAGGAAGGGGGAAAATACTCCATCCAGGTGTGAAATGATTCATAGGCGGCATCTGAGCTATTCAAAGGTTTCCGTCAGCCCTGTCCTCAATCGATACTTAAGCCTGAATCACAGCCAAGCGGGCTATGACTTTATCTCCTCTGTCAGATGTGAGAAGCTGCCTGCTTGTTATTGAGTTAACTTGTTTCATCTTTGCTGACACAATATCGCAACTGACTGCACATTTTTTATCACTTTGAACCCTGTGCCGGTGTACAGAAAATTAAACCAAGCCATGCCCATTGGTAATCCACATAATGCAGCAAGAGCGGTAGCAACAGGCCATCTTGTGTGCTATACTCTGCCCAGAAGTGATGACCTGAAAGGAAAAGGGAAATATATATAAGTAAAGACAATCATTAGAATGATGTAAATCTTCTCAAGACAGCTTCAGAGTGCCTTGAATAAGGGTTATCACAGATTTTCAAGCTCAGAGTCTTTGTCCATCTTGCCACTATGTGTAATGTGGAGAGTCTGTGCACTGATGCAAGTAACTTTCTGTCCTCTCCCCAGAGTAACTGAGGTTAATCAGATGGAATTATTACATCCCCCTGTGATATCCCAGGAAAAAACAACACAGCCTGAGGAGAATCCTGAGGGTTGTGGTGTACAGCTGTGTCTCTACAGTGCTGCACAGTGGATCAGAAAAGTCTGGATGTTAACGTCCATGGGTATGAACCTCTAAATGTTGAAATTCCAGCTGCCTGTGACAGTAACAAGAACACCTGACCAATGGTCAGTTCCTTGGGATATTGGTAGTTTTAAGACTACAGTGGGGGTATGGCTTAAGGGTGAAAACACAGACTGTTCATACATGTGCTTAATTCTGTGCCTCAGTCTATGCACCTGATTAGTGTTCTCTGCTGGCATGAAAAAAAAGTTGTTCAAAGTATGAGCTAAAATATTGCCCTAATAGTTCATGCATTTTTCTACAGGTAGTAAAATGAAAGAGTTGATGTGTCTATGTTCAATCAGCAGTAGAGGAAAAGCCAAGAACAGGATTTTGCTTAAATTTGTTTTTCCCAGCCTGGACTCCAAACTGCTACCTGGTTTTATGAATGAATTTTCCCCAGAATAATCTTTGCATAAATTTCATCCCTGTCTGAAAGGCTGGGTTCATAAAGGGATGTAATAGGTGCACAAATGTCTTCTTGGAAACCAGAGTGCTCTTGCGAGGAAACAGACATTTCTTTGAAGTTTAGAAAGTATTTCTCCTGCACTGAGTAACATAAGAAATTAAGATAGATAATCACTTATTCTCATTTCCATCCCCTAAGAGAGAGAACGCTTGAGAGGGTTTAAAATAAAGACTGATTGTTCTCTTTTTTCCAAAAGCCCCACACTGGAGGGGGGATTTACACCAATGCTGTGTCCCATCTGTTGAAACATGTCGCATGGCATTTGCTTTTAACTGTTTGATGCTTGCTCTGTATCCCATTCTCTTTATTTATTTATGTGGTAACCTCTGACACAAACCTTAGTGTCTTCCATCTGTCCTTCTCAATGTGATTCTCAGGACTTTCACTCTCATAGGAAGCCAAGTAAAGTGCTGCAATCAGAAGCAAATACAATGTTAGGCCTACTAACATTTTAAAATCTGCTTTCCGTGGAAAGTGGGCTGAAATTAAATGAAGCAGGCTTATATTATCCATCCCTCAGATTAGGGTTCCAGAATCCATTAGGAAGTATAGCATTGCTTATAATTACATCCAGACAATACTAACAAACAGTGCATGAGAACAAAGACTACCCTGAGGGGTAAAAACCAACTATCAAAAACTCAAAAGCACAGGAGTGGAAGAAAACAGTCAAAAGAAAAAACTGAGCCTAGGGACATGGTGCTTTGTAAGCAACCAGTGAAGTCCAATTTTCTTTCTCAAGCAGCACCCTTTACTAAAGAATCCTGACAGTCCATGTAAATACATCTCAGATAATGTTTAGAGGGATCACAAATGCTTTTTTTTTTTCATTCCATTTCAGGGAAAAGGATAATGTAAATTCTCACAGACAACATGCATGTAGAAAGAAAAATCTTGTTTTCTCTCTCATTTGCAAGGAGAATTTTTTGCTTACCAGAGATGTCTCAGGACAGAGTCTTTTTTTACTGTGAGGAAGCAACAACTTAACATGGAGAGAGACTAAGCAGTAGCCAGTGACACCAGACATGCAGGAAGCCTGGAGCTACTTACCATCATCACTGAAGACTGGGACAGTGAGCAAGTACTGCAGAATCTTCCGATCCCTTTCAAACGGACACTCCACTTGCTTCCATGTCATGAATTCACTGACTTGTTTTGCCAGTTCCCAAAATTTCTGTCAGAATAGAAAACAGAAGAGGTGCTATATACTGAACATTACTGTTCACCCTGAACATTTTCTTTTTTTTGAAAGAGACAGATCTTGCTTTCAAGTCCAAGGCTTGGATTCTGCCCAGCTTTTGAACGTGATCTGACTTGACAACTCAGTGGCTATCTATCTTTTGCGTTTCTGTTTCGAATTAGGATGACTTCCCACTCCTCCACCCCAGTAAAACTGCTGTTATTTGTGAATGTAAATAGTAGACCATGATCTGCATTCATTTTCTTTTCAATGAGCTGCTAATGCTCCTTATGCCTAACTTTTCACTTTGATTAGGGTCATGCTTGTCTGTTTCGCAGTAAAATTTGTAGTAATTTTTGAGATGTTTAATACTGATATTTTGAAATGCAGATGTTCCATTTTTGTTAGTTAATCTGAAATGCTTGATTTTCTTGCTGGAAATTTATGCCAAAAATAAACATACCCCATGTAGGGTGTTGATGTCACTGATTGATAAACTCTTTCAATTAAAGCTTAACATGCCTCAAGTGCACACGGATTCCTTGAATAAAAGGACATTCGAGATCATCACATAGTCTAACTTTAGAACCAGGCTAATTTAGGTCAATGACTACAAGTGAAATGTACTGAAATTTTGTATGAGTGAACCAGGCTTGTTGAAATCTGAAAGCATCAGAAAATAAATCACTGGGTAATAATGCACAGAGTCAGATAAGCATGAAACCAGAGGCAGAAGAATTGCTGCAATACAAGGGACTCAAAACTTCTTCACTGCTGCTCTGATCATGTTTCTTCAGAGACAATCTGTGACTTAAATGTAAAAATACTACAAATATGTATCTCAACAAACGACGAACCCACCTTTTATACTTGGAATTAAAAAAGAAGTTCTAAAACACTGATTTGAATGACTTTGTGACACCCATGAGTTTAAATGTTTAGATGAATTTGAGCACTGGGAAAAAGTTCTGACCTATTTCCACACTAAAAAATGTGAGTATCGAAAGGGTTTCTATAAACATTCCATCCTCAATAAGACTGGTTTTTCCTGACTGCTTCCCAGCTCCTGTGTGAAGTAAGATACTCTCAAATTCCAGTCTAATTTTGCTCTCCCAGAATCCAGAGGAAGCTAAACCATGATCTGCTTCAGTTTTCTGTTATAGGGGCTAACCCTGTATCAACACCCCATGTAGTGCTCTACTTACTTCAAAATTGATATGACCATTTGGAAGACGATTGGCACAGCCCTCGTTGAGGAAGTAAATATCTTTGATCAAAAGGCTGAAGAAAGGTATTACAATCTAAGGAAAGAACAACATTATTCTGAGTCTGGTCCAGAACCAAAACATAATGCTCTACAGAGAAAAATGAAAGGAAGACAGGTGGTACAAAAGGTAAGCAAAATACCAGAGGACTAAGATCTCCATGATATCTCTCTGTTTCACTACAGAGAAATTTTGCATTCACCACAGTTTAAAATACATGATGTTTCTCTATAAAGGAAGTCCTCCCTTGTATGAGAAGCTAATCCCTATAGTTTTATTATCAGCTTTGTGCCAAACTGCTTCCTTGAAGTCTTCCTGGCATGTAGCTCTCTCAGGGTCACAATTAAAGTACCTACTGGCAGTCCACTGCTTGTTAAATGTGGCTATGAGGCTTGTTTAGAACAACTATATGCTTAACATTTCATTTCTATGTCGTGTCCCTCGTTTTCACTTTCTCATTCTCCTTGCATATTCCAAAATATAATAGCTCAGACGTGCACACTTCTTGCATGTAATTCCTGCACGGTATATCTTAATGAAGCTTTTTCCCTCTTGACAGGAACTTGCTTGGTAAATGAGGGGAGTTGCACATGAAAGCATAGCATGGAAAATTCGAGGCTAGCAGCACAAATGGCTTTAGAGCTTCAGTTGCCTGACCTCATGCAAGAGATTGAACCTTGGCAGTGACTGGCTCAAAACAAAGCAACATTGCCTGCCAACTGAACAAATCAGAAGTATTTTTCTTTGGAGAATGCTGGAACATTCTTACATTCTTAAAATGACTGTATTTCCATTTGCATCCTCCAAGAATTTTCACAGCCACATGTCCTTGTTGCAACTGGTGATAAAACAAATATCACTGTTTCCATGGAAGACTTTTCTGCACCATTTCAGTATCTGTAAGTTCTTTTCTTTGAAGTAGAAAACTCACTTTTATCTGAATAGAAGTAAACATCTTACATTTAAACTTTCTGGTAGCTTGAATGATATGTGAACAGATCCCTGGGAATCAGAAAGAAGCCCACCTTGTTTTTATTTATGTGTATTTATATACATATAAATTTATCTATTTATCAAAGTGTATTTATATACACAAGTATAACAACGATATAGAGCATCAGACTACACATGGATTTGCTTCATCCTGCCTGGTAGTTTATTTTATGAGCATCAAGATCAGGTTTATTAAACACAGAATAAAGTTCTAATATTATTACAAGCAATTGATGAGCAACTGCTTGTAAGTGGGGAGCATCTAGGAAGCTATTTGGCTCCTTTCCAAGAGAACAAGAACTACAACTGAGATTCTGCATTAATGTGTGACCAAATCCAGTTTATTTCTCAAAAGCTAATTTACTTTAAAGAGTAAAGAAAGATGCAACCTCTATTAATGCATAATTCACTGCCACTCTTGAGTCTGGAAGGTGGAATTCAACCTGTATGGAATTCACTGTATTACACAAACACCTGATTAATTTATTTCCACTAACAAACTCCAGAGTATATTTAAAGCTCATCTAAAATCTGTACACAGGAAGGGGACTCCACAGAATATAGACAGAAACTCAGACTAGATTTGAATTTTAGAATACCTTTTCTGAGTAAATTGTAAAGCTTTCCCACCCTACATCACACAGTGAGCACAAGTCACAGCAATAAGAACAAATTACTAGGAACCTCATTTCAGTCCTTGGCCTTTCCATCTCTATTACCGGTTTGTGAGATAGAGTTCTCTGTCAAAAAAGACGACCTAAGGCAATGTACTTATTATATTTAAATAATCAAAATGATCACTTAATGTTTGCTGCTTTCAGTCAGCACCAAACCAAACAGGCAGCCCTAAGATGGTCATTTTTATTGAGCCACCAGTTTCCTCAAATATTCCATTTACTTTCTTAGTAGCTTAGAGGTAATATTTAGATGCTCCCCACAAAGGGGGAGTTTTTAGGCTTTTTATTCTTTTAAAAAGCCTACCAGGGGTAGAGTTGCTGAGAACCAGAATCCCAAGACAAAAAGCTTACCATGAAACTTAACAAGCACATTTCACCTTCACCCACTGCCAAGCCATTTGCAAGCATACCTTCTCTCTGCTGCTGTGAGCTGTCAAGGACCTTTGAGTGGCTCCACGCAGAGCGGTTCGGTAATTGTAAAAATTGCTAGAAGGGTCCATCTGATGCTACAAGCCATGAAAAAATGTAAATAATGAGCCAGTGTCATCACCACACACAGTTCTTTTTCACTTGAGCAACTGTTTTAAAAAGCAAGAAGCCTGGTGAACAGCAGCACTAATACAGCTTTCTAGAGAGCTGCAGCATCGTTTTAACTGTTCACTCAATCAGAAGAAAACATGGCTTTCAGAAACGTTCACTTAGCACAACAAGGGAGACAATAGAAGTCAGGGGCAGGAAAGCAAAGGCAGGCTTCACAGACGCTCTTTCTCTCTCCATGAAGGAGGTAACTCAGCTTTAATTGAAAAGTCAGAATCGTTAAACTAAGACAACAGTGGGTCTTGGCACTAATATTCAGCTCTTCCTACGATGTAGGGTTCTCACAGCTGATTCAGTTGCAACAGCAAAATAAGATCAGACACACAAAGATATCTGTGCCCCCACTTCATTGCTCCAAGACTGACTGCTGCACCTCAATGACTAGGATGATTGCACGGCTCACAAAGCATGTCCTTAACCAGCAAAATCCAGCCTGAATAATAAGGTCAAATGAAATAGGGCTGTAATCTTAAGAGCAACTTCCTGAGCTGCGCAGCCACCCTTGATACAAGGAAGGCTATTTCCCACCCAGGGGTGGAGGAAGGAAGCATGAGGTGGCTATAGCCATCCTATTTTAATCTGTTCTCACAACACAACTCAAATCTTCTGATGATATTAATAAACATTTCAAGAACAAAATGTTACATTTAACTTCCTAATAAATAACCTGAATTAACTGATTGCCATTTACAGTAGGATAATTAACTAATAGGCAAATAATCTGTTGGGCAACTCACAAACTCATACATTGCTGCAGCTACATGATCTTTGACAAAGGTGTCTGCTACGTGAAGGTAACCAGATTCAAGGCAAATTTCTCTGAAAGAGTAAGGCAGCCACCTTACAGCTCAACTTGATTTCCAGAGGCAGGACTGCATTAGGTCAGTCTACACCATCCCTCTCAAATACATCTCCTTTTCAAGAGGTTACCTACATTTTTTTTGTTGTTTTTTTTTTTCCCCCCCGCCCCGAAATAATTCTTAGGATGTGAGTTTGGGAGTTAAAAACAAATTATTTCAATTTCCTTCTTCCCAATTAAGTCAACTGAACATTTCTTATTTCATCTCCTAGAATTTCCATTAAAAGCACAAATATACTAAGTTAAGCGTGTTATAATGAAGCTAAACTTGCATTTTTGAGCAGTTAGAAGTGAAATGCTATTAATAGCCCAGTGTCCAAATAGTGGTCAAACATACCTCAAGAATATCGAATTTAGCTGTCTTCACTTTTGCCCAAGTTTTCTTTAACCGAGACACAGGACTCATGTTCATGCCAGCTTGATACAAGAGAGAGAACTTGTTGGAGTATTTAGAAAAAGAAATCTTTCAGTAGGTAATGCTAGTAAGTATTTCTAAAGTAAAGGAGCTGTTAACAATAACAAATATTTTCAGAAGAAAATATACCCAAAAATCACACTTAATTGTTTTCATGAAATTCCAGTGTTAAAAGCAACTTAGGAAGCAAAATCAACATCTTTTACAGAATGAAAAAAAGGTGTGAAATCTTTAAACCACTAGGAAATTTATGGTGTAACAGAAACAACAGGAGACATCAAGCCTTCATATTAAAGGAAGAATTTCTATTTCAATTAAGCACTAAAGTTAGTTTCAAAAAGTGGGGATTTAGATCTCTAAACAATTGCAGTGAAAACTTTGTTTTTCTGTAATTTATACTACAGCAGTAAATTATTTCTTAAGCATGTAACACTACAATAATATTGAGCAGTTCCTCACCACTTCCCCTCCCAACTTCCCACTGTTGAGTGTGCTAAGCTGCAGGCTTTTATGAAGCACTGCACTTCCTTTATCTGGATTCAAACAGGGACAGAATGTCTCAGAACACATACTTACAAATAATAGCCATTAAGGAGTTAAAGTTGCCAATGTTAAAGCATTCCCGTGCCACATCAATGAAATATTCTATCACTCTTGCTCTGTGCTTCTTCTTCACAGGCTGCAAGACATGCCATTGAAGTGTTACAAGTGTTCCCCCAAAGAAACAACAACCCTGTGTAAAAGTCTTTTCCACATGTACCACAACTTCATACTATGCTTTACATGTAGAGGAAGCCAAGCTATTGTGTTCAAAAGCCCTCAGGACAGCAAGGACAACCTAGACGCTGGGCAGATCGAGAGCAAGGACAACAGGTAAAGAAGTTCTGCCAAGAAGGATATGAGTAGAGCGGAGAAGGGGGTCAGCACAGAGGAGAGAAAAGATGTCTCTATTCACATGGGGCATTCATAGGAGAGAGGGGCAGGCCAGATGGATTCCTGTGTTAAGAAGGGCTAACCCAGCATAACTGTCAGCTGAACAAGGCTGAGGCACTAGCATGATGTTGAAAACATGGAATTTACTTCCATCTACACATGGAAAAGTACAGAGCTGAGAGAATGAAGTCGAAGGCACACTGAAGGGACCCTAAATCGGAAAAGGTTTCACCGTTTTAGACAACTAGACTAAACAAAACCTTTTTAGCAGAAAAAAGTCTTTTCTCACCATACAGATTTCTGTTGCAACCAAGTAACTGAGCCTGTTAAACCATTCCACATAGGCTTCCAGATTCCGGGTCTTCTTTCGATCTCCATAGCAGCTCTGCAGACAGAAGAAAAATAGCAACTTTTAATGTGATCTTCATCTTTTCCCTGAGAGAGACCTTTTGGCTTTCTGCCATGCCACCCCCAAACACTGTCAAGTAACCAGGAATAACTCAATTACCCAAAGTAACAAAAAAGCTTATAGAGAAATTAGCAGTGACAGCAGAACTTCTTCCTGAGCTGTTGGCTCAGTAAGGCATTATCAGACATGTGAATCCATCACCTACTAGGATGCTTTAAGGATTTAGGATAGACTTATGCAAACAAAGCTAAGTATCTGTGTAAAGCTTTCTTGATTATGACCACTGTTTCAATCCTCAATCTGTTATAGAGATAACATTATACCCTCTGCAAGTGCAGAAGGAAAACAGGCCAGCCCCCTCCACTGCCCCATTAACATTCAGTTGTTGATACCAAATTAATTTAGTGCATCCTAACTTCGAGAGATTAGCTCTACCATTTTGACTGGCTCACTGCTCCCTTTTTGTAGTATGTGCTCTACCTGCAAATTGTCCCACTTACCAGTTTGCTGCAAAGAGTTCAGTTTAGTAAAAGGAAAAACGCTTGTTGAAAATGCCTATTGCAAAAGCCAAAGCTAAAGTCAGCTTTTTCCAGCTGTAGGCCACATAGGTGAACTACGCCTTCACAGGATTAAGTGCTCCCTTACATTAAATCAGAAACAAACCAGAAAATACGTTAATTTAAATCAAATTTTTGGCTGAGTTCTAAAGCTCAAAATTTTTAAGAGGAATACTAAAGCATTTCCACTATAAAACTTGTTTCTGCTGGTTCTTCTTTATTGCTAGACCTTGCTTCCAGCTCATGAGACGCCTGAGCTCAAGGATGTTAAATGTCACATTTCAGAGCTGCTTCAGATCTGCTCCACTTACCTTGTCATTATCCAAAGGATCCTTTTGCACAAACGCCTGGACAAATTCTTCTGGCCCAATATAATTGAGTCTCTCCTAAATAAAGCACACGAGCAGCCGAGTCATATCCTATGTGAAGGTGCATTTCAAAAAGAGGGGAAGGATGAAATCATACTTGAAGTATAACAACTCACAAGCTCTATGTGTGTCAGCTGCTGAGCTAACACATAGGGATCATTGCAGACTGTGATTATGTCCCTCTCAATGGACTGGGGCTTGGTCTTTATAATCATGAGACGATCTGTGGATGTAGCATTAATTTTTGCAAGTACTTCCTCATACTGGCTAACAGTGGCAAGCTTCCGAATCAGGTTCTGGAGGAGCTGCTGTACGTTCTTCCGATACATCTGCCATGACGTGAAAAAATTGGGATACATTTTCAAAATGTGAGAAGGCAGTATTAAATTATCACATTATTAACCAACACAACAGATTGATGCTGATACCTGTATTTGTTATCAACTTAATCTGTGACCAACACAAAAAAATAAACCTTTCCTAAATTTGTGGTTCATGCAAATCTAGAACTGACAACAAAATCAGGGAGAAAATGGGTGAAGATATAAAGCTGAACACCTAATTCTGGTCAATCTGCTTCTCTAGCTGGAAAACCCCAGATAACAGGCAAACTGGCACAGATACCCTCCAGACCAGAGCAAGAAATCAAGGTAATTACCCTGCATCTGATCTAACAGCAGTTGAACATAACAAACATTCCTCTGTCCAGTGATGAGGTAAAACCCCCTTGGCATAAAGGCAGAAGGAAATGCCAGTTCCCTCTCACACCTCTAGACGTAACTGAGCCCACGAAACCAATACACCTCTTCTCTTTTGAGGTTCAGCCTCCTCCAGAGCAAAGAGGCAGTGACCTCAAGGCTTCCTCTGCGAGAATGAGTATGTACAGTACTTTGCACCCACAACATGTATTTGCTGATGGACCACTAATCTCATGCAATTTTTTAGTATCATATATATATGTATATATAGATGTAACAACACATAGTTACAGAATATGTCTTTTATCGATTAGATATTAATTTGATTGTAGTATGGCTATCAGTCAGCCTAAGTATATGGTCTGTCTCTAAATTATATTTACCATTTCCACTTACTGTGCCACAGTCTTATTTCTGATTCTACATTCACACTGACAATGCTGGTATTTATTTATATTTAAAAACACTAAAGAGTAGACAACACAGGACAAAGTGATGGGACGCTTTGTTTCTGGCCTGTGACAGTGACTGCAAGTACCACTGCTGCTGGCTAGATAATGGAGTATCATATGTTAAATGATTTTCCACAGTTGATCTCACTATATGATATGGTGAGATCAAAAAAAACCAAAAAACCAAGGGGGGTCAGTGTATTGTTGGGCTGCATATAAAAAAAAACATCAAAAAAACATCAGATACAGGACAGGGATTTGGTCTGATTGCATAAGCTCATCAAGTGTTTCAGTGAAAAAGCCACTGATAAATGTTTAATGGAAGGCAATGGCTGATGGGAAAGGCTTCAAAAGATACACCTTGAAACAAAGGTCGGGTAAGTGGTAAAAAGGACCAGAACAATCTAGAGATATCCCATGAGCATGATGACCTCTCAGGACACAGAGAGGGAAAATGTTGGAGGAACGGAATTAAACTGAGGAAGAATAGGGGGGAAAATAAACCCACCAAGGTATTTCCAAGACTTTTTTTTTTGATGGAGCAATATGTTAACATGGCGAATAGTTTTAGTCTGACTCTTACTAATAGCTCTTAACAGTATTGGAGCACAATAGCTCAGGAAGGAGAATAAGACGCTACAAGTAGAAAAGCTGTAGTGAATAGGAAACACTGCTTCTTTCATATCCTTCAAGGTAATGACTCACACAAATCCAAGCAATCTGTAGAAACGTAAGGTCAAGGAAGTTGCCATTTACTGTTCCAAGCACTTGACAATAACGCAAGTCAATTTACTGCTGTGCTTGCTTTCCCTTTGTCTTTCTGAAGGAAATCTCAAAGTCAAAAACCCCTCAAAGCTGGAGCTAGAAAAGATCTTTAGCTCACTGACAGAGTAAGATTGCTCCCTAGCACTCATTTTTTAGCAGTTTGTACATCTGCCCTTAATAGATGATTTCACTGTTTAAACTGTCTATATTGCCAGAAGCTTCACTGTAGAAAACCCTTTCCTGTTGCTATTTCAGTCTTGCATTCATCAGCTCAACTTCCCCCAGGCTGTACAGCCCGCTCTCTCTTTTTGTGCTAGTGGGTATTTTTCAAGTGGGTCCGAGCCCTCCATCTTACTACTTTTCCTTGAAGAGAACTTCAGTTCCGTACCTTCTCATTATGAGTACACAGAAGCAAAGCAACAGTGCAGGAGCACTGCAGAGGGAAAGATGCCTCCTGTCACCCCCCCAGTGAAGGCAAACCTACTGCCTCTCTACAGTCCAAAGCCCCCTGTGGCTATCTTTCAGCAACTCTAAGTTTGACCATCAAGTTTGGTATCTGTTCTTAATTTGTATTTCATACTGCATCTCACTGTCTTGTCCCACCTTCTCGTCCCTCCCCGCTTTCACAACATCAAAATACATTTCAGCTTCCAAATTCATTTTAGGTTGGCTCTCTTCAGTCTTTGTTTACAGTCTCTCAAGATCTTTCCAGGCCTTTGGCAGCACTTACAACTCCTCCCAGGAAAGCTTACCTACATGCTTGCTAACATGACATTTGCTGCCTCATCCATATAATTATTCAAAAGCTTACATAAGGAACACCAGCCCCCGAGGAACCCTAGAAACACGATCCCATCTAGTAATTGCTCTTTGCATTTATAGTTCTTCCAAATACCATTCCAGTGTCTTTTGCAATCTTAGTATTATGTCAGTTACACATGATCTGTTTATTGAAACCCTGTTAATTGCCTTTCCACTAAGTGAATGTAAGCCTTGACTTTTGACTGTTTCAGTACTTACAAGACAAGCATCAGTTAAGCATCAAAATATTTCATAATACCTCTGTGAAACTTCACTTCCATCTGAGAACTAGGACTTAGAAAAAGGTCAAGCAATTTCCTCGTGTGCTCTGTCCAGAGGAAGAAATATGACAGGTGCCTCTGAGACCATATCTGATGCTTTAAGCTCAAGACAATTCTTCCTGGTAAAGTTTTCTTACAGAAACGTTCTTGCCAAACCTGCAATAACCTACGGGTCAAAGGCCTTATTCCAACACACCTTACTCACACAAACTGAAGAAACTATCAACATGGGTAGGGGTTTCTCAGATATGCAAGGCTTCCCAGTGTTTTACCTAGCTTCTTCCAAGCTATCATTAAAATGAAAAATACTAATGCCCACCAATTTGCAAGTGTCTGCACAATATGCAATTATAATACAGGTTTAGGGATGGAGCAAACCTGCCTGTGCTTTGAAAAGGATCTGCCGATTCTATGCGGTTTCTTCCTAGGCTTAGGTACTGGACAGAACTTTTGCCTACCAGCACCTTCATAATAAGTTAGCTTAACCACCCAGATCCATATCATGTTATTAACAACAAACCTGCAATATCAAAGCATTAAAAGAATGCCTTTTTATACAGTAGCTTTGTGCACAGACAACTTACCTCATCACCGCTGGCTATTCTTTGTGCCAAGTCCTTTAAGTTCCTCATCATTCTTTCATCTCGGAAATCATAAGGAAACGTCTCTGTCCATTCAGTCAACAACTGTAGGATTTTGGGTGCAATTTTTTGTATCTGGTTCTATTTGGAAAGAGTAAGGAGAAATGTTACATGTAATAGCAATAAAATACAGCATGTATCTAACCCAAAGGAAATAAAATTCTCTTATGTAGGATAATGTGGAGCATATGGGTATGAAGGTCAGTTAAAATTTTAAGTTTCATTCAGCACTGTATTACAGGCCAGAGCAAATACCTATTGAAGCCAGTGAAGAGACACTCATTGGCTTAACTGACCTGGAAATCAGGCCTCAGGTATGTGGAATTTTTAGAAGGATTCCCCTCATTATCAGGAATGTCTCAGTACAAGATGTTTATTAGTGTTTCCATAACTTATGGCTAACCATCAACAACGAGAGTGATAAGCTCCAGTTCCACCAAGACTGTGCACACACTGTACCTTACAGTGAGAAAGAAGTGGAATTATTCAAGTATCTTTATTTAATTCATGATTTTTCCTACTGGGGGGGAGGTTCTATCCAAATGTCCACATCCTGTCCCCTATCAACTCTAGACACGACACACAGAAACCCCCATGCATTCCCCAGCAAAGGGGCAGCAATCTAAGCCACTCCACAGAAGACTGTGGTAAGAGTGTAGTATCAGTGAATAAAAGGTCAAATTCTAGTTGCTCTATCAGGTTTAATCCTACTGAGGACTCAAGACTTGAGTAGGAACATTCTGCTGTAGGCAGAGTAGAGACATTTGACTGGAACTAATAGGAGTCCCTGAGAGTAGGGGATCTTACCTTGTCCAGCCCAGGTTCACTTAGTCTCTGCTGCTCAATGCACAGATGGCAGACTTTGGCCATGAGCTCATACGGATGCATGAACAAGCGTGAACTAAGAAGGAAGGTGAAGATGTATGTCCTCTGAAAACAAGAGGAAGCAAGAGAAAGGGATAAATTACCACCAGTTTTACGCTTTCTCAAAATGTGCTCCTGACAAATCGGTACTTAATACTTTACTATCTGCAGAAGAAAACTCTTCATGTGACTGTGCCAAGAACTATTAGTATAGCAGCAAGTGTCTAATTTAACACTTGTCACTCCTCCAGCATCTGCATTATAAATTCATGCTTAAGCAAAGTTATGCAAGATTTAACCAAATGAAGGCAGGGCAGGGCTGGTTCAGCTCTCTATTGTACACAGCATTATTACAAGCTTAGTACCTGCAATTACTCAGAATAAAATTTCAACTCATCTTCTCTTGCTCTACAGTAAAGCTTTGCAAGAGCCATTGCCAAATTACATAACTCTTTCTAGCCTGACAGTGGACTAAAATTCATGCTGCAAGTCTACTTAGAATACCAACAGAGAAATCTTCTCTGCTTCCACATTGCTAGCAAACAGTCTTCAGAAAAAGAACAAAAAAAGATGCCACTTGACCAGATTGTTGAGCTGACTAAATTTTGCCACATATACCATCTTTACTACGCTGTGCTTGCCTGCCTGACCTCAGTAAACTGCACACTAAGACCTAGTACTTCCTTTAAGAATCACCAAATACTATTCATTTCTGATAGTATTGTCTCCCGGGTGAAAGCAGAAGGAACTATATAGCTTAATCTTACAGAATAAAAATTAGTAACTCATTCTGAGGTTACAAGAAGAGGCTTCTTATTTTGCTTTAGTTTTCCATATATCATGATTTGGACTTATTGTGAGATGGCTACTCAAAATATCCACTCTGCTCCCCACATTGCCAGTAGTTAAGTATCTATGGAACCCACGAGAAGGATTCTACAATGTCCTGGTTCTATGGATTTGAAATAAATCATCATGTTTGACCAACTGCTGTCTAAATTGCTATATAAATTTTACATTAAGCATTAATTAATAAGTACTAGCTTAAGCACTTCTGTGCTGCTGTTAACTCTCACCCAAGTTAAAAAAGATCCTGTCTCGATAAACATGCATAGTTCTATGATGGTAACAGAAGCCGAATATAAGCAGAATTATGTCTCCAGCAGTTATGTCTCCTTACAACAAGCAGAGATGCAGTTTCATAACCCCTCAGTCATCCCTAACTTCCCACTGACCTTTTGATACCATCCTCCTTTTCTAAGAATTGTATGAAATGCTTCAATGCATAGATGCATCTAGACAGGCCAAAAATTCTCAGACAAAAAACATCGTGTTCTCATGTTCATTGTGCTCAGCCTCTGCTGATTCTGAAGTGTGGTACTAGTTCAACACTTCTGTTGCTAACTGCAAGATACACATGGACCTCACAGGAGCAGTGGGAAATACGCTTGTTTGAAAATTAAATATGTTCATCCTGTCATGCTGGTGGCTATGCCTTTCTCTTCAGCTTGCTGTCAGATTTTTAAGGGCCAATGATACATCCAACCCATCAAACAGTAAGACACACTAGATACTTTATAAGTGAATCACCAGGGTTGTGCACCCCACAAAAAGGGTAATAAAGAATTAGACTTCCTAGGTTAGGTGAGGTACTGCTTGCTGCACTCACATGAAACACATTTATTTTATCATTGTTGATCAGTCATTTGATCTCCCTCCTTAGCAATTTGATGTGACACATTCTGCTTTTGCTGCACACATGAAAGTTCCCCTTTACAACATGCATCAGGCCTTAGCCATATGGGTGTACAGACTTACGTCAGGATAGTAATCTACATTTGGTACCAAGTGCTGGATCAGAGCTTCCAGAGACCCTGACAGGAGGTTGTTGTCATGGTAATAGAGGCCGCCACAGTTGCCCTCTTTTGACTGATACAGGTTCCTGTTGTAGCCGCTGCTGTCAAACATAGCTGCAAAGGGAGGTGTTTGCGGCATCCTTCCCTGGGGAGACACACAAAAGAGATACAGCATAACTACCAGAAGGTGAAACTTAAGAGGCTTTTAAACTCCAGAGATAATACTAGACTAAGAACAAAACCCAGCATCACACCCTGGGTTGCTTGCACACAACAGTAAAGATTGTACTGTCTTCAGCCCCTGTACATTTCTCAGGAAAGGACCAATGCAGGCTCTCATCACTGCCTGTCTATTGAAATTGCCAGGCACTTTTATATCTTGCGGTTTCTTCAGTAACAGATGAGAGGTCAAGGTTAAGACTTAGATGAGTGTAAAGAATCCTGACACGTTTTGGGAACTCAAAATTTCTGTAAAGCTTTTGGGGTTGTGGCATAGTGTTCATTGGTAACTTTGGACAAATCCTGACAGTAGCTACCTAAGAGCAGCACTCTGATGAGGAAGCACGTTCAGGCTCTCAAGGGTTGACACAGGCCCAGCCAGTGCAGAGGGAGAGGAGAGAGACTGAATTCCCGAGAGTCTATATGCGAGGACTGTCTCCTTGTGTGACATGACAGCCACGTAACTGCAGTCAAAGGCTCCAAGTTCCTAACTCCACCCTGGTAAGTCAGTGCTGGGTTTTTCCAATTACACTGTGTCAGGTTGTGACCCAGGCTAAAGCCTGATGCTTCAGTGCATCTGTCTCCACCTACTCATCGAGTTGTTTACCAAGGCTGTCCCAGGTCACCAATGATACCACAGATGCGAGCAGAGTCACAGATCTGTTAAATCCTTTCTCCAGATTCTGCAGCAATACGAAAAACACATCCCTGTGTTTTCTAGCTTCAGATTTTCTTAATACTTGAGGAAAAATAAAGCAGTTACTCATCAGTTTGCATCTCCGTCCTGTGGAATAAAAATGTCTTACCAAGGAAAAGATAACCCTGTGCTGCAGGCTGTTGAGTCATCCAGAGTAGTGGGTGGATGGCTAGGGGGCTATGACCACCCAAGAGCTCTTCTGGTGAGGATGTGCAAAGCCAAAAGATAAATCTCTCTGCTTACTTGAAAGTTGAGTTATACTCCCCTCTGCTCCACCCTCCTCTGCCTTCTGGGAGTAGGAGTGCTTCCTAGTTTAGGGAACCTGCGGTTTATAGCCTCGACTGCAAGCTAAGCTTGTGCCTAATTTTAAACACAAATAAGTTCTAGTTTTAACTCCACTAGAGCTGTTACTTGCTTATGAGTGCTCCTGGCCTATCTGCATTCACAGGGAGGGCAGATCAAATGCTTAAAGGTATTGCACACTGCTTCCCATTCTCCCCACAACTGTGAGGCAAGGGAAACCAAACTGAGAGAAGATAATATCCACAGGCTGTTGTGCTCATGTGTTGACCGAGCATGTGCATGTGCCTGAGAAAAGCATTAATGCCTCTGAGCCACCATTGTAAGTGCAGATGCTGTTGCTTTTCTCTTCATTGTATCAAATCCTATTTGGGAAAAGGCTCTTCAGAGCCACAGACCTCAGCAAACACAAGTCTGCAAAGGCACCCCATTTTGAGAACAACTAGTGATGTGACAGCCTGGAGATAAATAGCATGCTGCCATCTGTGTGCTCCACAACTCCAAACAAAGCACTTTTCAGAGTGAGCTCAGTGGAGATGAGAAGCTATTAGGTTATTAGCTAGATTCCTGGGGACCTGAAGCACCACACAGAGAGCCACAGACTTGCTGCTGGCAGCATGTCCAGACAATGCAGGCATTCAAACCAGCACAGGACTGAGGGATTCACTAAGTAAACAGTAAGAGAAAGCCAAAAACGGTTGCAAAGACAGAGGTGGATGGTGAAAAGAGCCTCCTGGCCTACATGATCTGTGCTAAACTCACCTTGTGAGATGTCAAAAGATATCTGCATTAAAATGAGAAAGAGTGAGGAGTCTCCATGCCTGAAAAGTGACATTACTCACTCTGTGCAGCTGCTAAGCCACCAATCAGTGACATCCAGCCCAGTGAATTGGGAGAAGAGAAGAATAAAGTAAATACACGTACCACAGCAAAAGGGAATGAGGTGTGGGATTGAACAAAACAAGGTTCTCATACAAGAGAGTTCAAATCACTGGGCAGGTGAAGTACAACCCACCTGCCATGGCCACGCTCTGTAATGACAGAGCATGCTCCATCCCTGGCAGTGTTCAAGGCCAGGCTGGACAGACCCTTGGGTGGCATGGTTTAGTGTGAGATGTCCCTGCTCATGGCAGGGGGGTTGGAACTTGATGATCTTAAGGTCCTTTCCAACCCTAACTATTCTATGATTCTGATGCATAAAGACTCTTGGTCTTTCAGGCTCTTTGCAAGGCTAGCAAAGTTTAAGAATCAAGATATTACTAGGGAGCTGACAGCATTCCCTTCTGCAGCATTTCCTAGGTTTTCATGCTGTGTAAAGCTCACCATGGGTGTGACTGCAAAGCGCAAACCACAGACTTGGACAAATCCAAAATGCTCTGTCACTAAGCGCTCCATCTACCCAGTTTGTGAACACTTCCAGGGATAGTGATTCCACCACTGCCCTGGGCAGCCTCTTCCATTGCCTGACCACCCTTTCGGTGAAGCAGTTTTTCCTAACATTCAATCTAAACTTCCCCTGGTGCAGCTTGAGGTCCTATCACTTGTTACTGGGGAGAAGAGATCAGCCACCTCCTCGTTTTACCTCATCTTACACATGCACACTATATATTACTACGCACTAAAATACAAGGCTTTTTAAAAGGTCAGCAGGCAGTGCTTCAAATCTAGTAAGTCCCAAAGGGAGTGAGACTTATTTGAAGCTTGCAGTCCCCTAGCTCTCAACACAACAATTACTCCCAGGACCCCGTGGATCTTTCTTTAGACAAAACCTAATTTGAGACCCACAGAACTTCCTAGTGCCTCATCAAAAGACAGAAGTCATGAGGTCATTAATAATAATACTGATTCATAACAATAAAATGCCCAAGTCCTGCCCCAAAAGGTACATATTGGCTCATTTGTTTGCTATCTATTTCAGGAATGTCATTCCAAATGTCTCTCCAGTGGGGCTCCTTTTATAACCTGGTTGAGTCTGAGCTGTGGTCAGATATGGGTATGTAGCCCCAGGGGTTCAGGATCTAACTTCCTGCCCCTGCACCCACTGACCAACACCATATGGGTGGGACAAGAGCTGTGCATGTGGGGAGCAATCCCAGGACCTTGTCTATGAAGGGAAGCTTCCGTGGGCTTTGGTCAGGTCCTTGTCAGGGCTTTTGCTGGGGTGGGCGTAGCTGCCACAAGGAAGCTGCTTGATAGAGACGGCTTAGTTCTGCTTCAGGGACACATCAAATTGCAGTGCCTAAGAGATGTTCTGTACAGTCTGTGTTCAGACACGAGAGGATTTCACTTGTAAGTGAACAAGACGCAGGACATGTTCTCCATGTGATGAAAAGGGCTGATATCAAAATGTGACATAGATAAACATAGCATAGCCAACAGGATGATTCATACAGCACATGCACTTTCCAGCAGGACTCCTTTATTACCATGACCTTGACTCTTGTGCTGCATTTTATATGGAGGTGGAGACACAAAGCAGCATGCTTAGTTCTAATTAGCTCAGGAACTAAAACCACCAAACCCTGCTTTCAGAATACCTCGAGTGGAATTGAAATTTGGTCACAGCGCAGAATCTGGTCGGCATATAGATTAGAGGGATCTAGGCACCTAAAAATATTGATAAACCACAGCAATGTCTGACAAGCAGGAATGAGAAAAAAAAAAAGGACGGGAAATGTGATTCTTATGAAAACATCCTGAGAGTTAAAACTGGAACTTTTTAACTGGGCTTTGGAAACATTTGTCTATCACTAATATGGAAAACATTTATCGCTCCTCTCTTTTCTTTTTTTGGCTGTGTTTTTTAGAAGTAAAAGAGTGGTGGGTTGTTTTTTTTATTAAAGATCTGACTTGAAGGAAAGAGCAATGAAATAATTTCCTAGCTCTACCACTGATGTTCTCCTGTGACAGAGAGACATTGACAACTGCATTGTGGAAAGAGGAATAAAACTTTTTCTGCATTTAGTATCATTATGGAGAACATGAGATCTTAGGCATTAAGGTCCAAATTCTGACTCTGAGTAGCTTCTGACAAGAAAGAGGTCTCAACCTTTCCAGTAACAGTAATGTAAATAGAAAGCCAGAGCCCAAGATAATGTGCTCAACCCCCCACCATTTCCTGCAGGAGCCAAGTTGCAGTTTGGCAAAACTAAGGGAATCAGAGATGTAGCCTCCAGGCTGCCAAGTGCTTGTCCAAACCTCTATGTTCAGCAACATAAAAAAAGTCTGATTTGTACCAGCAACAGTGGAAGGTTACATTGGTTTGTTTTCATTTACATTAAAGAGCTCAATCCCTATGTCAGGTGTACAAAACAAAACCAACAATATGGAGAGCTTGCGTCCTTTATAGAAGCACCCACTGAAGGGTTCAGTAACACCCACGAAAGGCACCATTTTCAGCTCCTCTATGTACAAGTACTTCCCATACTACAACCCTCAACCAGAGGAATGGTGACTGAATTTGATGAGAGTCCCAAGACATGCCTCCTTCCTCATCGAAGATGCAAACCGCAGGTGTGCTATTACAACCCCTCAGAGCTGCTTTACTATACAGTCAAGAAACCACATTTAGCAGGTGATTACCATCTCACATTATTCTTAAGGATGCTATTATAATATTGAGGTATGGCAAAACAAAAGACTGCTGGAGAAAGGACTATGAATCTTAACAGCTTGCACCAACCTGGGACAGTCTGAGCAAGTCGTAATGAACCTCAGCTTTAAAATACAGAAAGGAAGCAAAGACTAGGTGCTTGCCAGCAACATCCAGCTTTCTCTTAAGTGTTTCTGAAAAGAGTGGAGTACTCAGACAGTAACACAGGCTACACAAAGCAAAATCATACCAGACACAGAGATTACTGGCTGCATTTCATACATCTGGGTGTGTTTGATTTGCTTACAATGCATTGTTGGGTGTTCTGTTTGTTTTTTTTTTTTGCACTGAACCAGAAAGTGAAATTCTACAGCTGAAGCTATTGAGAAGAAAACTGAAAACCTCCCCTACCAGTATTCCATATGCCTTACTTGCAGAAACTAAATTCACAGAACTATCCCAGCTCAAGCCTTCTTGCTTCCATTCTTTCATGAAGAATTTGCCATACAAATCAGGTGGTGTCACTTCAGCACCAACTTTGACTTACAGCTCCCCCGCTATATACTGTCCTTCCTAGAAATACTTCCTATTACCTTGTAAGGGGCAGAGTACAGAATGGTACTTCGTAATAACGTAGGAGATGGAAAGAGAAGTGACATGGGCTTTTTTCCTAAAACTGAGAGAAAGATCAAGAGCTACTCAAAAGGAATCCACCAGAGAGGACCAAAAGGACTAAAACTATTCATAGGTGACAACTGCTGAACAGTGACATAATTGCAGAAGCACATCTTGCACATACTGGAGACCAGTGAATTGCAGGGCAAACAAAGACCTGAGGCAGGCATAACAAACCTGACTGAGCCCTGAGATACTTCTTCATTTTCACTACAACAGCAGAGGATGAACAATTCTGTAAAGTTCTCAAAAAATTATCCAGGCAACAATAGGCTGAAAAGGAAAAAGAAAAACCCCAATGAGCAAAGAGCACACCAGGAACTGAATTTCAATGAAAGGCATGTTCCTCCTGAATGTGAACAGGAACCCTTTCTTGGATCTATAAATAGATCCAGCTGATGATGTGGGAAGGTCAGATGCAACACTGCTGAAGATAACTCACGTATGAGAACTTTGGCACAGTAATTAAGCAGATCCTGAATCACTCAAGACTGAAGTCCTTGGATAATGAACTGCAAAACGGATATGAATGGATATGGATGCTTTTGTGTGTATGTTTAAGAGCATTAGAAAAAATGCTGGGGGGTTAAGAATGCCCCAAATTTGTCAAAATCTGTGGAAAAAGGGTGAAAAAGGGAAGAAAACAAGATCCTATTAATGTCAATGTGCTATAAATCCATGTCGCTTGCTTGAGGGACATGGACATTTTTCCCCCCTCAAGAATCAACACCCCTTCTACCCTTTCCCCATATTCTTCTTCTGTGGGTGAGGAAGAATGATGCAAGTCTAATGATGCTGAGGGTGGCCATGAAGCAGCACTGCTGCAGTACCAGACAAACACACGCAGGCAAACTACACCATGGAAAAAATCCTAATCACAGGAAAATTACCCAGGCCAAGGGAGAGGACAGGACATATGTTCCTCCCAACTAAAGCATATGAAACAATTTGCCTGTATTGCTGGACACACAACAGCAGCAGAGTTAAACACAGAACATAAAAAGAAGCGCATATGTGTATTAGCTTTCTCAACACTCGTATCTTGCCATCATCACAACACAGCTGAGATTTCCATCTGTAGGTTAAAACTGAGGAGGCCACAACTGTTAAAAAGGACAAAATAAGGCTGTTCTCCAAAAAAAGGGGGGGGGGGGGGGTGTTGGGGAGGGGTGTGTTTAACCTTGCAAATCTCTGACAATCCCACAATTATTTTTTTATATACTGGTTTCAGAGGAGAAGTTTAAAAACATGAACCATAAAGGGTAAGTACCTGTCAGAAGTAACATGATGGGTTAGAACAGCAGTAATTATATGTCACAAGCCACCAGAGAGTCTAGAAAAGTTTAGTCCATTCCATGTTCCATAGTGACTCCTGTGAAGTTTGAGTGATTTACAGAGTGAGTAAAATGGAAAAGGATGCACAAAGGCCTCCGACCAGCCAAAGCATGCAATGAAATACCGCCCATCTTCAACAACAGACAATGCAGGTGCTACTCTTTTACACCTAAATTTATGAGCAGACAGCTGGACTGAAAGCAAAGCAGTTTTGCTAGACAACAGATACTGGGACCATGCTAAGAAACAGCTTCCTCTGCCAACTGTTTCCTTTAGTAAAACTCATAAATAGCCCATCCTCCAAGCACTTTGTCTAAACCCAAATGAGAGCACGAGTTGAGTATGATCTCTGCAGTCCTGTGTGTTATGTTTTGTTCCAAATCCATCAGGAAAGGCAGCCAGCCTGGTGGCTGAGCAGCACAAAAAGTAGGCTGGAGGGCAAAACTGAGAGCTTTGAAATAAGAGTACGAGTATATTAAATGCAAAGAAAGCACATGCACGCTATAAAAGCCTTACGCTTTTCTAACTCACTGAAGCAAGGTGGGTTTGTAGAAGCACACAGCATTCCCCTAATTGCACCATGTGAAGTACAGAAAGGTTTTGCTATTTGTTCTTATGCATTACAGTCATAAAAGCCTAAAATCCCACCTGTCTATTCAGCCAGCGGCAGTCTGGCTCCATCAAGGCTCCCATCCACCAGCAAGGTGCAGAGCTCTATGGACCCGAGGAGGTTACCACCCCAGCCTCCCACGCTGCTGCTCATCAATCAGATGATGAATGGCTGCAGTTTGCAGTCAGGAGTTTTAAGGCAAGCAAACAGCAGTGATAATTTGGTTCAGAACATCACGCTGCGAACTGAATGATTCAGCAGCTGATTCACAGTCCCTCAGCTGTCCAGGAATGGGGCACGGGGTGGGGTGGGCGGCTGGGATCTGAGATGTCACCCGTGCTATGCCATCCCCATCAGTGAATCAGAGCCCTGACACTCATAATTTCTGTAGCATACTTTGTGCCTCACGCGTACTTCACACTGAAGAAACAGAAAATCTATGTTGTCAATAGAGATGGAAGCAGATTCCCCTACGCTGTCATTAGAAGAGTATCACTCATTTCAAAGTGGTAATACACACCCACTAACCTTGGGGAACATGTTCCATTTTATGCGACAAGGATGTGAACCTCTGTAATCCTAACTTATCTCAAGTGACCTAGGGCAACAGATTTACCTTCTCTATCTGCACGGGCAGTAGCTAAGCGTGGGTCTGAACTAGTTCATGATGATAACTAGTTTCATCAGGAACTCTTCACAGATCCCTGCACAGTCAACAGAGAAAGAATCTTTTCAGTGCATAAACATGGCAGCTGGGACCTTGGGTCTCCTTCTGACTCTGCTACAAGCTCCACACGTGGCTTGAGTCAAATCACTCAGTTTCTCATTAGTGCATTCCTGTGCTTGGCAGTACAAAGAGGGATTAGTGTGGGGTTATTTCCTTTCATTAAGTTCCAAGATCTTTTTTCTAAAGGGGTACTGAAGGTGTATCACACTATATTAATGCCAAAAGCACAGTACTAGCCTTAAGCATGAAGCTGTCTTGACACAGTTCCTTCTTCAACCTCATCAAAGACAGACACCTTCTGAATCCAAAAGATATTGCTCTTTGCAGACATCCATGCTTGGCCTTTTGGGAAACCTACAGTACGCTTCAGAAGAAAGCACCATTCCCTTTTATAATCGTAACAGAAAGCTAAGTTATAATTTAGAACAGCAGGCTGTAATAGTGTTAAATAACAGCACTTAAATGTAATTTAACTGGCTCTACCTAAAACCTCATCACCATACGTCTCTTTTTCATTTAGATGATGCAGTAAAAATGCTGGTTTAAGGTGAACAGTTCACATAATCTCTGGTTTTCCATTTTCTAAGACCTTATGTTTCCATAAACAGAATTTTTATTGACACATGCATAGGTTGAAACCTGTGTAGTTTCTGTAGTAGAAATACTTCAATTAAAAAACCACAGCAACAAAAAAACAAATACACCTTCTAACACCTAGGTTGAAGATAAGAGAGATGGTCCCACTTTAGCACTTAAGAAAGCAAATACAGCTCTGTATACAGATCAGCAACACTTGCCTCACACCCATTTATACCTGGGCTGAACGTCAGCCAGTGGTTTCTAGACCAGAGCTGGGTCTGAGGTATAGGTACCTGTAAAACAGCTAGCTACAGTGAGCTTGACTGACTCCTTGGGAAATCAAGAAGTCCAGCCAAACAAGAAGAATCAAGTCTAGCCAAACTGACTGGAGAGGGTTTTTTTTCCCTAGTCTAGGTAGGGCCATAGCAGGAATCTCCTCCACTCACACACTGCAAGCGTTGATTTGTGTCAGCCTTTGAGATCCAGCAGCAATTCTCATGCTCGACTGGAGGTGGACCCTTGGGCTTTGAGATTAATGGGTCAAAGCATCCTTGCCTTGAAACAATTACACCTATTAAGTCAACACACAGTAGTTACGGTATTGAACAAACATATACCAGCTCGGGTTGTGAAGAGATCATTGTAAACGCAGCCTAATGGTGTCTGAATCCCTGAAGCGTGTTTGAGGGAGGATCAACCTGCAGCCCTGATGGGCAGGTTCTGTCAGGTCAGCGTGCTGCTTTCATGAGGAAAGCACCTGGCCTTGTATCAATGAGACCAATTATCTCAGAAAATATCCCACTCCCCAGTCTGACTCAAGCATATTTATCCTCTGTCTTGCTGCTTATGAATCTAAGTGTCTCACTGTGCTGGCTGATGCAGACTCACAGCTTCCCAGGCTCACCTCTCACCTGGCAAGTAACCTGGTATTTCTGGCCCTATTTCCAGATGCAACAAGACACAAGCAGAGCACTTGGCCCTGTAGGAGGGGCAGGTGACCTGGGGAACATTTTACTCTTGGTAGAAGATGCATTTTAATGAATCAAAACAGTCAAAACACGTGGATCTGAATCATGGAATGCAATTCTAGAGCTGCCTAGTTAAGAGTGAGCTGCATTGTTTCCATGATCCTGTTAATCTTCTAATTAAGAACACTGCCATACTGAATACTACCAGTTCATGTTCCTCACTATAGTGATTCCAGTTTTTTTTTTAATACTACTTCTCACAGCAGCTATAATGGAGAAATTCGCAATAGCTTTCAGCAAGAGGTAGTCTTTGCCTCCTATTTGTATATTAGGCATTGTCCTTGCTGTGGCTGCTAAATGAGTCTCGAACTTTTGTTTGCAAGCTCATTTTCTAGCCAAGTGTTTATTAGATGATGTGGCTCAGTCCCACAAACCCACACCAAGTAAAGGACACTTGCCAGGGCTTGCAGAGTACACCTGTATATCTACTAACATTCGGGAAAAGATGCTTAAGTATAATCCAGGACAAATTCTGCCTCCTTCACTGAAACATAGGCAACCTATGCAAACCAACAGCTTCTCCTGTACTGCCCAACCATCTACTGAACAGCAGAAAGTGCTCAAATGACTGGAGAAAAGGAAGATGTGTTGAGACAAAGGCAAAATTAGCTTTTTATTTAGAAACACTGCATAAAGATATAAAGAAATAAATGGTTCAGATCATCTAAAAAATTGAGAGCTGACTTCTGCCATGCTGACCATGCTTTAAATGAAGACCATACTTCAAATTAAACCACTTATGACAGCTACTCTGCACAATGCTGGAGCTTTGACGCTGATCTCTCCAAATGGGTGAGAATGATCACAGTTAATGGAAGTTGTCAGCCCCACAAACTAAGCAGGGACACAGTTGCAAAGAAGGACACACCCACATCAGGGGTGTGCAAGAGAGATGAACACCACAAGCTCGCTCTTACCCATGTCATTTTACTCAGCTTCCCCCACGTTTTCAAAGCATAATGGCATTCCGGTTAGAATCCGTACTAGCTCACTGACTGCAGCCTGCACAGAAAAAGTTTCTTAACCCTCTGATTTACACAGGAAATCTCTGGGGTGCGAACCATCCAACATTTCTTACACCTCCTCTCTTTGCACTAGGTGCCTAGAGCTTGATATTCAGAAAAGCTTACAGCCACGATGTGTCTCTGTTATCAGAAGCATTCAGCATCTTTGACCCCAAACATCACTTAACTCTTCCATGGATGATCACTTCAGAGGTGCTTCAGAGTACCGGTTCTAATAAGTTTTAACCATTTAGCATTGTAGCACTTTCCCAAGGGTAACACCAATGCCCAGGTAGCCATGTGGTCAAAGGTAGCTAAGAAGGATCCTGCCCATGTTGTCATTTCTTTTTTCAGCTCACATTCTTTCGCTGGTGGGGTATTGTTGAACTGTGCCTGTCATTTCTGACACGGGTGTGACAGCAGCTCACCCTACAGACCATGAACAGGTACAGTGATTCACTGCATTCCCCAAGGGCTGTTTAGATAACTCATACAACCGGAGCACGCGTAACACCTCACTGTGCTGCCCCCAGAAACCTCCACAGAAAGAAACCATGAAGAGCGTGTATCAGTGGGGATTCACTGTACCATACTAAAAAGCATTTTACCCAGTGTGTGGCACTGCTATGAGCTTTAACCCCCAATAACACAATAATTTATTTCCTCTTTCACAAAGAGTTAAGAGAACCTATAATGGCTTGTTTCAGTCCTGCATGTTTAAGGGAGTAATATCCCCATCACTACCCTAAAATCAGAGCTGGGTTTTACTTATTAAATCTCTCCAGCACAGCCCACCAGTTAGGCACTTGTCTTGAGTATACTCAGCATTGATTTTCATCTGATTACCAGCTTCTCTCCAAGACATCTTATTTGGAAGCTGTAAGATAAGTCTGAAGGACCCATCCCTCAAACGCTGCTCTTGGCTTTCAAAACAAAGAGACAGAATAGAGACTTGGTCCTGCTTGCACAAGTTTCCATTTCTCACACACAGCATGTTGTGTTAGTCCACCGCACCTGCAATCTCACTGGAAGCAGCCCCTCCACGCTTCCCACTTAGACAGATAGCTGTCTACCTGAGGCACAGAGGACCTCTTTGTTCATGGTTATTTTGACTTCTCAGGCCATTCTTTTCCTTTGAGACGAGTCAGCTCTCATTTGCTGCATTCAGCTCCTCTGAAACTGTTTTCCTTATTCCTCAGTGCTATATTTAGCTTTACACACAGGCAGACAGGGAGGCACTGCTTGTTGTTAGGACTGCCTTAGTTTACAGACTGGCCTAGGCGCAGTAAATGTCACTGATAAGCAACACATTGGCCTTGGGTCATTTAACAGCCATTCTCCATCTGCCCCTGACCTGTTCCCACCTAATCCACCACGGGCGGGGACTTAAAGTTCTACCACATTCACACACAGCAGAAGCCCAGCAAAAGAGAAGCTCATAAACACACTTGGGTGACACCCCCCCCCACCTGTCCTGCCACACACCCATTTTACACAGCCCTACAACCACAATCTGGCACATTACTGCATTTTCATCCCTCCCATCCAAAAAAGCATCCATCAGTTGAACTGATGGGCGTAAGAAAGAACAAACGGGGAAAGCTTCTCCCAGGACTACAGCCACAGAAAGATCACATCTTGCAGTTTTAGGACCCCGTTCCATCTTAATATAGGGAAGGGCGCAGGGAGAAGGACCCAACCACAGCACTGCTAAGTGCTTTTTCTGCTGTTTTTTTTTTTTTTTTTGCTGGGTTGGTCTCTCTCCCCTTCCGACTATCCTGATCTCCCAGAAACAAGCATCTCTGGCTGTACAGAACCGGGTAGATTGTAAGGATATAAACACCAGAAGGAAAAAGGCCATCCTGTTGGGACTAGCAAGCAGACGGAGAGATAGATAGATGGATGGATGGAT